CTCTATTGTGGAGAGGTTCAGTAACTTGTTTGTTTCATACGAAACAAGCCAATGGGTGCAGTCTCGTGAAAATCTCGAACTTGTATGATTGGATTTGTTTACTCAAGTCTGGGCTGTTTGATTTGTGAGTACCGCCGAGATTGCACTGCCCCAAATAAAGTTTCTTGCCGCCATAGCAAGAATTGCGATCTGCAATCTGTTTGTAGTACCTGTAAGAATGTGGAGTACATGTATCGTACTTTCTCTGTTGCTGTTTCAGTTGCCGTCATGTTGCTAAAGAAAGGTTCAGTAGAGAGGTTCTGCAAAACAAAAATTCGAACGAAGTTTCGCGACAGTCCTTGCGAAAGTGTGTGCGAATTTTTGCACGAACTTTGCGTTCTGCACATTTTCGTAGTTTGCGCGGGCCAAGTGCACGTACGCCATGACCCGATCTCACGAAATTTCCTACGACAGTTCATTTCGCGTTCCCTGCAAGTTTCGCACTTCATGATGTAGAGCGAAAGTTTGTACGCATTTCGTTTTGCAGAATCTCTCTAGTGACTCAATTGTTTCATACGAGACGAGTCAATGAGTCGGTGTGGCTAAGAATCTTTCGCTGTAGAAGAAATCTATTCGTATGTCTATTGGAGATATATTTGTGTTCTCTGGTTATAAAATAGGTTAAGCTCACAGAATAAATACCATCGTTCCCTTGGTGTTCGTCCGAAAGAGGTCCTAAAGAGGACTAGATATCATTCATACTCACCAAAAGATGTGTAAGACTTTATTATTGTGGAGTGCCTTGTTTATCTCTCAGTACCTCCAACCATAGCCTTGCCCCTTTTCTCCTCAGGATCAGTGTAGTTGTTGGAACGAGGTTTTGGACTCAGCAATGTATTCGTTTACATTTTAATACATGTTTATTGTTCCTCCTTTGCTGTGTTGTTTTAGACAATCGTGGACTAACAGTTTGAAGTCATTGAACTACTTCCAAAAGTTGTATCGACATCGACAGGATTACGATTTCAGTTTCAATATGATGCTGGATGACCTTATCACGATAAACCATGACTATAAATCATTATAAACACAGAATCAACAAAAACATCTGCGACACGCACCTGGCGCATGGCTACATTTCTCAAATAAATCTGATTGAGGGTGGAGAAATCTGAAAGGCAAGACAATTTCATGAAATTCTGCAACAGCAACATGCACAGAATGGCCTCCGTATAAAAAAGTATCACCACCACTGCTCACATGTTTCCCCGCAGAAGAACATGCATTGTGCTAGTGCCATTTTCTGCAAGAAAAGGCTTGCACATCAATGCGTATAATATGGTATTGATATGATGTGAAGGCCATCATTTACATATTGATATAGGGCATTCCATTGATTGGTACATGGTGACAGAAAAAAACAAAAGAAATTATAGCAATAAAAACTGCTTTATGGCAGTTTTCTAAAAAAAGTTATTGTGTTCTAGTCCATGGTCCCCGTCTAAAAAGTAAGAAATTAACGAAATGTGATAGCTGAAAATTATAATTTCACACAAAACCTCACAATAATCACACACAGAATGAAAAGCTACATGCAGAAGACATTTTCCCCTCGTGATCCTCTTTCCTATGCATGCATGTTGCCAATTGTTGGTGCAGTACAAGTTTAGTGTTGAAAGCAGCATTTCAAGTGTTGTGATTATTGTGAGGTTTTGTGTGAAATTATAATTTTCAGCTATCACATTTCGTTAATTTCTTACTTTTTAGACGGGGACCATGGACTAGAACACAATAACTTTTTTTAGAAAACTGCCATAAAGCAGTTTTTATTGCTATAATGTACTCTTGATGCAATGCATGCTAGCCCATATATGGGGAGCCTGGTGTAGCGGTCCTATATTGCGCAAGGCGGCCGGCGCAAGTCGACGTAAAAAAGTCGTTGGTTGTTGCGCCTTCGCGACGCTGCCCCCTGCGCGAATTCGGGGAAGCCCCTCGCAGAAGTTTCGTTTGAACGAGTTGATTATTCGCCTGGGCCCTGTTTCATGTGTTTGGCTGAGACTATTAATTTTCTTGGCAAGGCAGTTCCAGGTAGTTGTCTGATCTAGCTCTGGCACTGTTTATTGCCTTTCTTAGTGCATTTAGAACATTGAAAGTTCCTATTGTTGGTATAATTTGAGCAACGAAGTAGAATGGAGAATGTCTGCGAGACACCTTCATAGTAATTATTAGGAGAGAATTTAGAATTTTATTGACATCTAGAGATATTAATTTTGTGTTCCATCACGTGTAGTATTAACTTAGAGAGACATTAGAATATTATCAACTATAATACTGGCAATTGAGAGACCTTGCTATGGCATTTCGAGAAGTCCTGAGAAACGCTGCCATATTGGATTTGTCGTGTTCACTGCAAGAAGACGGGGTAAAATACGTTGCATTCACCAGTTTTGACGAACACACCAATGGAGTGCAGTTGTGTGTCACAGATGGGAGGAGGACGTGGAGCAAATGCTATGATGAAATGGCTCTGCTGGAATGCCAGGAGTCGTCCGGCGCATTGCCCACTCTGGATGCGCTGTTGAGTGACTTCAAGGCAGGATTTGACTGCAATCAGGCAAAACTGTCTGTCTTGCCGCAGCAAGCTACACTCACTGTGTCAGGCAATGTGAAGTTTGAGCTTCCTGAAGCTACAGTCCACCGTGGTCACGTTCTACTGCAGGAATTTGTGATCGGCGCTGCAGGCAAAGTAGACCGTCTTGGAGCCGAGCTGACTGCTTGCAAGCGCAGGGTGGCCGATCTCGAGCAGCAGAAACGCGATGCTTCCCACGCCATGTCCTCGGCAGCATCAACAAGCGCTATGTATGAGCCAGAGCTGAAGAAAGCCAAGACGGGACCGAAAATGAAACGACAGGAAGGCAGGAGCTTGCTCAACCCGAGCAGTCGGAAACGAAAGGCAGCCAGTGGTGTGGTGTTTGATGAAGAATAGGTCTGCCAAATACATCTTAGATTATAGTACTGGGTGAGACAGCTTCCTTGAGACACTTTTTACATATGTCAGACTGCCCAGAGCTTCAATGCTCACTTCAAACCAGGGAGTAGTACAATACCATGTATTGCAATACTCCCTGCTTCAAACCATGAAATCTATGCGAATAGTCATATCTCCAGCTAGCGATACCTGCTGGGCTTCGGAATCTTTCAAACATTGTCTCAGGATTATTTCTAGGAATCAAAGAGTTGGTTTTCTCACACATGGAAGCCTCACTTACGAAACTGAGAACAGAAAAGTAGAAATTAACCAGTATTTCCCCTTGTCACTGCTTATTGCTGGAACTTCCCATAGAGTTTGTCTGCATGATGCTGGTCATCTGCTTGCTTGGCATTTCTGTATCGTTTCATTTTGATGTTTACTAGTACATGTATTTTTACCAGATGGGATATCTGCTTGATTCTCCCTCAGAGGGGAAACCCCACAACTACATTGTGTTGATTGTGTTAGTAACTATGGTAACTACTGTAGTGCTAGTGAACAGGTGATGGCAACTCCCCGGTTTGAAGTGAAGCCACGTCTATTTACGAGTATGCATAACTTGTTTTCTGATGTGCTACATGTGGCCTGAATCATGATGTGCCATTTGCACAATAGTGCATGGACTTCCTGGCTTATTACCGCCAAATCATACTCAGAATGTGCACGGTGAAAATTAGTACATTGCCTGAGAATAAGTACAGGGAGAGGTACTCGGATTGAAAACCAGCATGTGCTTATTTATGGGCTTTTTAGCGTAGAACCTAACTTTGCTGGATTGGAGGTACATACATACTAGCCACAGTCTAATGTGTGTACAGCTTGAGAAACACCAAATGGGGTTTCTATGTCCAGATGCGAACAGGAGGCCAGCTGCACAGGTTGTGATCACAGTCCTGCTAGCAGTCGCGCAGCACTGCACATGTTGTGATCACAGGACTGCTAGTCCTAGCAGGCGTGCAGCACTGCACAGGTTGTGATCACAGTAGTACTGCTAGCACGCCTGCAGTGCAGTGCGGTCTGAGAAGTACAATGCCGTAGTAGTAGTAGTAGTGACCAACGCACTGCACTGACTATACTCTGAGCTGCCCAGTGCATACACTTACACTGTGCACCAGGCACTGGGAATTTGTGTCAGCATCAAGGGGAAATCTTCTCAAAGTTCTAAAACTGGATGTGTTCCACATAGAGCAAGTCGTACGGCCGACATGGCAGTTGGAAAGAGTGCTGAACACTTTAAAACGTCTTTCCTGGATAGGCACGGTGACTGAGATGCACAGCAGTGACCTTGCCTAGCATAGTAGTGATGGTGCACAGTGGAAGGAACACTGACATCATTACACTTGTACAATCCCGTCGGACATGACATGCCAGTCGACCGTGCCTTTCCTGTCCAGACTCTCCAGATTGTCTGGGTCCGGTATGGCCTTTTCGCCATCCACCAGCACATCAAACGCACTGCCAGTCATCTTGTCCTTGCTAAAGCGTAGCCCGTAGACTTCGTAGAGCCACTCGACGAGGTAGTCTTTGTCAGAATCTTGCCTCCATGCTGGACCGTGCTCTTCACGATAGACGGATGTTGCCCGCAGCCGCTTCCATGCCTCTTCTTTCAAATCATTGTGTTGGTTCTGGGATAACAGCCATCAATGAGTACATACACATAATTATACATCCACACGTAGCACACATACACCCGCAGATATAATATTAGTGTTTGGCGAGTGTCTGCACAATGCAGTATTCAACATATTCAAGCACTCATAGGGGGCCGTCCGTAAATACATGCACCAGCATTTTCTCTCGAAACGAAACATCATTCGTTGGGAATAGGGTGGGGTGAGATGGGGTGGTGCTTGTTCACTTCAAGAGGTGCATGGGGAGAAATCCATTAGAAGGGCAACCGCCAACTTGCCAAGTCCCTCGCCTGAATCAAATTCATTCAGCCACTCCAATGATGGCGATAATAGCAGCCATCTTCAAGGCTCACGCAGCAGGGGGTATGCCCTGAAATGTGGGGTAGACCATAGTGCCATCCTCAAGACTCACGCAGCAGCGGGGTATGCCCTGAAATGTGGGGTAGACCATACTGCTGGTGCAGCACATTTAAAATTAATTTAATGATAGCAATGAAGAATACCAGTTCCGTGGTCATCCTACACAACAACAAAGTCTCAAAACAGCATTATTCATTGCTATCATTAAATTATTGTCTCCACGTCGCTTATTTACATTAATTAATTTATTTATTTATACAACATCTCCTGGCTCACCGTAAGACTGCCAATAATGAGAATGAGATGACGGATGGCAACCAAACATGGCTCACTAAAAATTACATTTAAAATGAGAGGGAAAGGAGAGAAGAAGAAGAGAACGAGAGGTGACATCATGTGCAGTCGATTGTGTGCTGCTACGTGCAGTGAGCCTGGCATCAAGGGTTTTCTAAGATGCCAGTAGGCGCATGGAATTTGTCCAAAAAGCGCAAAGAGTTCTTATCACAGGCTCACCTCCATCTCTCCCTTGCGGATCTTCATGATGAAGTCACGGTCCTGACCAGTGCAGATGACACGGGGTGCTTCTCCACGAATCATGCTTTCCACCTGGTCCAGCTTATGGAATACCTAAAACAATGTACAGGGCAAAAACCCAACAAAGTACAAAGTACAGTGAACTTCGGTACCAGTATAACATGCTCCCAATGGTCGTAAATGTGTACTTAATACTAAAGTGAATAGCCGAAACGCTGTACAGTCAACTTTGCGTATAACGACACTCGGCGGGGCATCAGAAAAGTGTCCCTATTCGCAAAGTGTCCTTATACCCGAAGTCTCGTTGTATGTACCGGTATGCAGGTTAGATGGGACTTTGCTCTGGGCATGGAAATTCTGTCGTTATTCGCGAATTGTCGTTATATCCGCAGTCGTTATTAGCGAAGTTGACTGTACATGATCCAAGATCAAACTGACCAGCATAGTGCATGTATATATGCAGGGTCATAAAAACAGTACATGGGAACTGTGATAAGACGTACTCGCTTACAGTCCATTTCAAAACTATAGACGCGTACCTAGGCAAAAACCGTTATGCCAGCATCTATACCACATAAAATCTGTGATCACTTTGTGCATAAATTTTTCCAAATTGGGCGTCTGTTATCCAATCCTTTAGAAACTATATGAGAGTAATTGCGGAGCGATCCTGAGCAATATTCCGAAAACTATTCTCAAAAAGTTCCAGCCAAATTTGAAATATTTCAAAAACCCTACGCGTCTATAGTTTTGAAATGCACTGTAGAAGCAGAACATTGCACATGTACATGTATGTACATGTACCTAGGCTGGAGTATCTATCAAGCTGTTTCCTATCCGAGTATATTACAATACATACAGCAATACACCTGCACCCCGGCCAATGTTTGTTCATTACTAAGCAAGAGTATTCAACAACCCAGCCTTCTCTGATGCGGTCTCAATGAGCAAAGCAGCTGTCCGAAAGGAATTTCAGTACTCAGAAGGAGCCTCTTGCTGCTGTGGGAAGCATGTGTGGTCAGCTGCACAGCGCAACGGTGGTGTAGTCAAGTGACACAGAAAAAGCAAGAGAACGTGCTACAGATAATTATAGTGAGTTCTACTGTACTTTATAGCCCATAGTATAAATCACGGTGTATTCGCTGGATACAAAATACAGATAACACAAACTCCCGGTATTGAGAACATAATTATGCCATTGGTCCCTTGGTGCTCGTCCTAAAGAGGTTTGACTGTTAGTGTATGCGATACTGTGTTCAGGGTACTTAACACCGTAGTGTCTTGTATACAAGCCTGTCTCATTGTACTTGTAGAAGTCTGTTTTTGAACACAAGCCTGATTTCCAAGATGCACTGTCGGCACATTAGCCTGGCTTTATAGTGGACATACATACTTTGAAGTAGAAATACCTGATTAGAATAGAAACCAGGCTTGCAAAGAAGCCTAGCACTGACTTTGGCTTCTACAGGAATAAGACCGGCTTTTTAAGTTTATACGCGACATAACGGTACTGAACAGTTCCACTCAGTGACTGTAACTAGTTACACACACTGGCTACAGTACAACATCTCTGATCGGGTGACATTGCTTGACTTTGTCCGGTTCCACTCCGCTCTGTTTTCTTTGCACACACACACACGCACGTACGCACACACGCATCCCCCCCCCCCCCCACACACACTTGCAAGATATATGACTCACTTGGTAAAGACATTTGTGAGCAGGAATGCTGGGACTTTCTTCGTCCAGCTGATGCAGGAAGGACTTGGTAAACTTGCGGAAGTTGTCAATGACCGTCTCCGACATCATCTTGTCACGATTGCGACGAAGCTCCTACAAAAACCGGAGAAAAAAATACCCAGCTATGTGAATGTCTGTCCTTTGCAATTTACACAATAGAATGACACGATGGCTTAGTACATTATACACATCTACCTTCTCGATGGATACATGCATGCACGAGTAAGTTCCTAAGCAGAACAGAAGCAGTCACGCATACCATCGTGTCATCATGCATGCACACTTCCCATGTTGCAATCAAGAAAAGAAAGACAGAAAGAAAGTGACCCGTTTCTACCTGGAATAAAGGGTGTTCATACAGTAGATCATCCTCATGATACAGGATCTGAAGGACGACAACAAAGAACAGAACACATGAACTGATAGTAACATAGCAGACACAGTCAACTACAAATACATTATTTTAGAGAAAGAAAGAGAGAGAGAGAGAGAGAGAGAGAGAGAGAGAGAGAGAGAGAGAGTAAGTTACATTTATAAAGACAGGTAAGTCTAACAAATGAGGACTGAGACCTCTACAACAGGGTTTTTACGCCTGAAAGCAGGTGCATGATTTAACAAGCAGGTTGTCAGTCTAGATTTTATGCGCAGATGGAGAAAAAGCGCAGAATTTTTGTAATGAGATGAAAAGCAGAAATAATAAGAAATAATAAGAAAAGATGAAATGAAAGCCTGCTCACAACCCCGCCCAGCCTTGCGAACTGGGTATGGTGGATTAAGAACCCGGTTCAACGCTCGAGCAAGCGCTCTCCACTCAAGGTGTTCACAGCAACTGATAGGAACTCATATGGGGAAATTATAGAAAAGAAATAATAAGATAAAGAGAATAAATTTCAACGCACCTCAATAAACGGAGCCCCACATACAGTACCTCAGAAAAGTGGATCTTCCGACCAGTGTTTTTGTTGACGCCGCAACCAGATGATGTAGCTGCTTCGCAGAGACGTCTTACTGCACAAATTACAAATAAATTTTATTCTTCGATTAGAAAATCCAAGCGCTTTCAGAGCCCTCCGAAGAGAGTCCGGGATGAAACCACGCACACCTACCTCAACCGAAAAAGAAACGACCTGCCACCCGTTTGCTCGGCATTGATCGGCCAGATCCGCATACCGCCTGTCCTTCCGCGAGTTACTGACACTGAATCTGTCCTCAGCACAAACTGTCAACTCCATCCAGAATACAATCCTACGACTCGTAGAGTACAGAACTATATCTGGTCTTAGGGTGGTAAGTGCAACACAGCTAGGGAAAGAAATCTTTGCACTAACTGAGTCGACAAGAAGTTTCCAGTCTGAGGCCGCTGACAGGAGATCAGTCGTAACCAACTTTCGTCTGGGCTGAACGCGAACTGGCTTCTCTCCCGCCTTGCAAAACGAGATGAAGTCAAGCTCATTTGAATTTTCGGTTTGTACGGTGTTTGCAGCAGTGCGGATTCGAATCTCCTCACGCATGTTCCTGACGATGACCCCGAGTACGTTGTCGTGCCTCCAGGTGTAACGTCCCTGGTCCAGCGCTACGCGACAAGCGCCAAGCACGTGGCGCGTAGTACAGGCCCAGGTACGGCACAAACTACAGTACGGATCCACTACGGTGTTTCCCCAACGGCGTAGGTTCGTCGGAGAAGGTAGCACGTCGAGGGTTGATGCGAGAAGAAATTTCAAATCCTTACCAGTACCACCGTACAAAAGGGATTTCCACGAGAGGTCCTGCCACATCACCGATGTCCACTCCAACCACTTGCCTTGCACCTGAAGAGTCTTCAGCCTCAAAATCTGCTCCTGCGCGTTGATCTCCTCAAATGTTTGAAGGAGATCCTTCCTCGGGGGTTTGGAATGCTGCTTCGGAGCAGGAGCACCCAACCCTGCACGATGACTTGAAGATGACGGTGGACGGAGAGTCCCTGAACCTACTGATGCCTCTGCACACTCCAGCTCTATTGTCGCCGCATATCGCTTTGTCAGCTTCGCATCCTTACTCCGACGCAGAGTGTACAGCGCCCTCATGCGCGCGTCCCCACTCGATCGAAGAATGTGCCATTTGATGGACTGGCACTTTTTCCACACCGTAGGAAGGTAGTGGAGGCGTAAGCCAAAGCGTTTGCGACTGCCAATAAAAAGAATGGCAGAGTTTGCGCATCGAGGTAGGCCTGACCATTTCTTCAGAAATGGTAAACACATAAAGTGCAGTTCACGTACAAAACCTTGTGTGAGTTCAAGAACCTGGAAAGACCAAGAAAGCTTGGGCACTACAAGATGGTGGTAAAGCCATAGCTTGTGGTGGTCTTGAAGCCAAGAGCCATCGAGAGAGAGAGAGAGAGAGAGAGAGAGAGAGAGAGAGAGAGAGAGAGAGAGAGAGAGAGAGAGAGAGAGAGGGAGAGAGAGAGAGAGAGAGAGAGAGAGAGAGAGAGAGAGAGAGAGAGAGACAGAGACAGAGACAGAGAGGGAGAGAGAGAGAGAGAGAGAGAGAGAGAGAGAGAGAGAGAGAGAGAGAGAGAGGGAAAGTGAGAGAGAGAGAGAGAGAGAGAGAGAGAGAGAGAGAGAGAAAGTGAGAGAGAAGAGAGAGAGAGAGAGAGAGAGAGAGAGAGAGAGAGAGAGAGAGAGAGAGAGAGAGAGAGAGAGAGAGAGAGAGAGAGAGAGAGAGAGAGAGAGAGAGAGAGGGAAAGTGAGAGAGAGAGAGAGAGGGAAAGTGAGAGAGAGCACACCTTGTAGTGCACTATACTGTAGTACATTACAATAACATACATGGACGCACACATGGACGCACACACGGACACACATACATATGCACACACATGCACACACACACACACGCACACGCGCGCACACACACACACACACACACATGCACACACACACACACAAATATACACATGCACACATGCACGCACGTGCGCGGGCACACCCACACACAGCAGTGCAGGTACGCACCTGATACCACTCGACGGCCCCTTTCAACAGCATAGTTAGCAGCTTTCTAGCCTCCCAGGCGGCAATGACGGAGAGATCTGGGTCGCCCATTCTTGCAGCTTGAGCCCGGAAATCAAGTACATCCTGGCGCGGCATGAAGGAAGAATGGTAGAGGCAGACAAAAAGAAGCATGAGTAATAACTACACAAGTTTCTACAGGGCAAACTAGGTGCAGTATACAGCCAGTGAGTACCTCACGGCTAACAGTGCATGCAGACCAGGGAGTCGGAGCATACGCGGAGAAGACACAGGCAACTGCAACGCTAAATCCGGTGGGTTTTGACCCCGGGCTGCCCGTTGCAATCACCCTTGGGGCAAGGCCGATTTATACAATGCTTGCATATGGCATCGCCTGTCTGGGCTGCACGTGGGGTCAGCAGGTCAAGGCCGTGATGGCGATTGTGAATTTCATAGAGTATGGATTACGTACAGCTTCCAAATCCAGGGTCGAAACGCATTATCGTTTTGAGTACTTTGATCTTTTGTTGTCTCCCTGTACAGCTCCCTGATGCAGACGGTATGCTCTACAGTGAAAGCATGATGTATCCTCTTTCCATCCCACTTTAGGAGACCAGCTTAGCCGTTAAATGGCAGCTGTATGTCCAAGTGTGTGTGTGTGTGTGTGTGCGTGTGTGTGTGTGTGTGTGTATGTGTGTGTGTGTGTGTGTGTGTGTGTGTGTGTGTGTGTGTGTGTGTGTGTATCTGCATGTGTGCGTGTGGGAGACAGACAGACAGACAGACAGACAGACAGACAGACAGACAGACAGACAGAGAAAGAAAGAGTGTATCAAGCTTAACTCACCACTGACTTGCGCTGCAGCTTGCGAATGATTGTCTGCAGTGCAGTGCAGTGCAGGAAAGGAACAGAACAGATTGGCCATGGCAGCATCAAACTCCAAATTATACATTTTGATGGGGAAAGGCCATCGATATGGAATATGGCGTTACTACAGTCAGACCTCGCTTAACCGCACACATCCGTTTTCCACAAAATATCCGGATAGGCGAGGGAACCGGATAACTGAACACACATACTGTATACGCTTGTGGTACATCAAAATGGGCGGCATCGTACATACATGTATATGGATCCCATGCAGAACAACCAGCGTGCACAATATGTAAAACAAGCGAGAAAAACGACAAGTACATGCAACTGAGTGCTCTCCACATGCATGCAGCAGGTCAAGGACCTCATTTGTTTGTACAACTCCCTGATTCTAGCTTCTGCAAGCCACGTGCAACCGGATGCGACGAAGCTTTTTGTACATATTTCGACCAGTTTGTACACAAAATCATGCACCGGTATGCGGATCGCGAGGTCCGATTATGTTGTATGCGTAACGTATGATGCACATCGGTAACCAGCGATTTTCTTCCGGATGGCGAGGGATCCGGATAAACGAGGTCTGACTGTACACGTATCTCCACAAAAAATGACAAAAGAATAGTAATGTTTCCACTGAAACTCGCCCAAAGGGTGCCCCCGATAGAGCGAGGTGCCCGAAACTTCGGGGTTTGGATAGGCAAGGTATGAGTGTACATGTAGACAGTCGTGGAACGCAACTCACCCGCAGATCAGGATACCTGAAGATCAGGCAGTAGTCTTCATCGCTGGTCGGCAGTTCCAGATTGTACAGCTTGGAGCCGGACAGTGTGAAGCACATCATGTTCTCCGGAGAGATAATGCGAAACGGCGAGCTGTCGTCTTGGCCGGGCCGAGAACGGCCACGGCGGCGGTCCATCGAGAACGGCTTCTGAAAGCGCTTCAGCAGGCCAGCGGCCTTTTCAATGCCATCCGCAGTATCTGAGCACAGTCAGAGGCAAAGATGCGGCCACAGTCTTCATTACACACACACAGGAACAAAAACAAATTGAAGTGTTTTCTTTTCTTTTTACACTAAACTTCTCGGGCAGAGAGGGGATGCCACTTACAATTGAGTGTGATACTGTATCCTACTGATGTGACTGATGATTTTTTTCTTTCTTTCGTATCTGGCTTGCAAGTGTTGAGTTTCGGAGAGAACAGAGCAGTACGAGGCAGGTGGCCTCTAATTTCCTAATATCCTACTTTAATATGTGAATATTATTGAAACAATACGGTTCAAATCTGAAAATAGGGGTGCAACTTATAATCGAGTGCAACTTACAATCGGGAAAATACGGTATGTGTGACCTGTACAACATGGTACAATGTAGGTCCAAGCTACTTTAAAACACCTTTGCCCACTGACCATGGATTCTGGGCGTTGAAATAATGTTCGATGAATAGAAGTTTCCAGCCAGCAAGTTGAAAGCAGTGCGCAGGTAGAAAAGCGTCGGGTAGCCAACCTTGTCGACGTTGAGCAATATATCCAGCCAGTCGTACCAGTTCTCCAACTCCAGCATCAGCTCTGTCCTTCCAAACTCCGTCTACACGCACAGGAGTGCAAGGATAGCAAGAACACAACAAGCAGCAGCAGCTCAACTGTGTAGTTTAAACTAGTTTTACTAGTTTAGGGGCCGTCCGCAATTACCGATCTTTACACGAAACAAAAAAAAGTTTCTACTAGAGAACTCTGGTGTGGGGTAGTGCCTTTGTCATTTGCACTACCAAGAGTACATAAGTCATAACCCCCAAGAGCATGGAGCTACTCGCACGGCCTCTATCCAGTGCTACGACGGCAGAGTTTCACATCACATGACATCATGGTTCAACGGGTTATGTTGGTAAACAGTTCAAACTGACCAGCACAGAGTTGTTTCCAAAGCCAAGTTCCATACAACCTTATATGGTAATACCTATCGTGTACGACAATGTATGGGGTACAGATAACTGTGTGAGTGTGTACCCGGTCCGTCATGTGATGTGAAACTCTGCCGTCGCAAACCCCATAGACTTGAGTTGCACTCTTGAGGTTAAGTCCTTTTGGCAGCACATGCACTGCACTGACTTCTTAGCTTGAGCACTGACTCTTGGCAGTACATGCACTGCACTGACTTCTTAGCTTGAGCACTGAGTCTGGAAAGGTACACCTGGACCAAGCCTGCCTTCTGACTTCGAGAAACTCATTTGTATTCTTGCTGCCACGTTCGGCCTCATTTCCATGTGCAAAACTGGTGAGTTCACAGGGATGAAACAGTACTGTCGGTAGAGTGATTATTGGATTTTGTTTGTATCATCAGGGGCAAAACAAAAATGTGTATGCACGCCTGACTCACATACCTTTAAAAAACCTACTACTCGTACATGGACAAGAGTTGCAATATGTTAAACTCATAGAGATTTCACAATGTCCAAATCCTATTTTATAGGATTTTGGCGAGCACCCGAACGTATTCAGCATGTCCCTTACCTTGAGCTTCTCCACTACGACCAACTCCTCTTCTTGACCTTCCTTTGTGAAGTCAGCCCAGGAGGTGCGTGGCGGGAGCCCGCTGAGGCTACGGTCAAGTATGTTCTTCAGCCTGCACAGACACAAGAGCACATTGATGAGCTTGGTATGCCGGTATATGCAGAATCACTACAAGAACACGGCGAATTGCATCCTCTAGACAGATGAAATACTGACCAAACTAGAGTATTTTAAAAAGCGCACCGCACACTCTTTACCATTCGTTCAACAGAGCTTACATACAGCATGACACAAGCAAGCAAGCGGGCATACACGCACGCATCCACATACACACGCACACACACACACATACTCATGCGGACACACGCGTGCACGCACGCACACACACACACACACACACACACACACACACACACACACGCACACACACACACACACACACACACACACACAAATACTAGTAAATAAAAAATAACAGCTGCAATAAAATAGCATAAAACATGGGAACAGCAGCAGCCAGTACAGCTGGTAAAGCATTGGCCAGATCACTTTTCAGTGCAACAAACCTGTCTTCAAACACTGAAGGCAGAACAAAGTATAAAAGGTAGGGGATCGAGACCTCGAGTTGTTCGCTTCATGAATGAGTTGAAACATGTTGACGCACTCTGGAAATGGCGGGCATTGGGCAGTGAGATGTGTCACCTTAGAGTTAGACTCTGGCCGCCAGGCGCTGCTGCTGCATGCAATAGTCTATTGTAGAATAGCTGTGGATGACACAGTTCCCTACATGTACACACCGCTGCGTGCAATAAAATAGATGTGGCTGACGCAGTTCCCTACACGTACACAGCGCCGCGTGCCCGAAACAAAAGCCCTCATTAACACAGTAGGCTGTGTCTATCCACTACGTGACAAAATAGTCTCTCCGCCCTGCACGCAAATACCCATGACAGGAGCTACGGCATTAGTCACTAGGCAGTCAAGCCAGCACAAGACTAACAGGTTACTGTTAAGTCGTCGCTGCATGGCATCTTACCATCGTGCGTTGCACAGCTGCTCCACTGTGGTGTCGTCTCGCTCATTGAAGGCGCCTTTCGACCAGCCGCGCTGGAAGGTGCTGTTCATCACCGCGGCAGTCGCTGAATGCAGGAAGGCAGCAGGGTACAGGGAGCGCGGGTCCTTAACGGAATCGCGCAGTTTTCTGAAGTCCGGGTCGGAGTAGATGATGCAGTCGGAAGATGCAGCAAAACTCCTCACCGGGAAACTGACACCGTCAAACAGGTGCTCGTGAAACTCCATAAATTCGTACACGTGCAGCCATTCCTGGAAAGATCATCCGACATACATGCATACACATACATACACATACTTGGAATTGTACTTGCTCACAGCCAAAACTGGCCACGTGGGGCTCCCCGGGAGAGGGGAAAGAGAGACTCAAAAGGAACCTTAGAAATATGACTCAACATACACGTACACAGACACACACACAGACAGACAGACCTCCTGGTCCTGGTCCTGGTAAACACTGCCATTACGGTCACGTGTCCCCTTACGGGGCCGACAATATAGAACGACGAGCGGGACCATGTTCGAGAGAGCCATCTCCAGCAGCTATGGATCTGGCTTATCATCGGAAACGATTCCTCTCACGGCTGCCGCTAGAAGTGGTCCATCACTCTCCACAACAGAGCGAACATTCCATGAGCCAACGCTCAGAGTCGTTCCAAGTCGTCGTCTTCGTGCGGTAGTTTGCTCCACTCGCGGGCTTGCAAAGCCTCGCGAAGGACTCCGAGGTGGGGGCGACGAGGAGAGTGTCGGCATCGTAACTATCCGACCAAGTCTCCTGTCGGTGAATACCCCACCTCAGGCACTGTTGGCCTCACACACACACACACACACATACACACAGACAGACAGACACACACACACACACACACACACACACACACACACACACCAAACACCCCACACATACACACACAATGGGTGATCGGTCCAGTGCGTTGCCCTTCTTCTCGAGGGAGCACTCGTGAAACAATCAACGGGGAAGCCTTTCTACTGCAGAGAAAGAATCCAGCCGCATGAATATAAAAGCATGTGCCGCGTTGCCATAGCAATGCTACGAAAACTGGACGTCGCAATGGTCTGAATGTCACCAAACCAGTGTACCCTTTAAGAATGCTGTGGGACAGTGTGTGATACATACATGTACTTCAGTACACAAAATGTTATCAGCTCGTACGTCAAAACGCATACTAGATGGTGCAGTATGGCTAAGATGATTCGATATGAAGACCCATTCTACACTAGATATCTTGTACAGCAGCTCAAAGCCAAACCTACATGCTTCAGTGCGAAGAAATTACTCGAAAAGCAAACAGAGCCGCGCACACAGGTACGAGCACTCACGCGCGCACACAAACACATACACACACACACACACACACTCGCAAGCATCTGCACACACGCGTACACATGCACGCATTTATCTCTCCGGTATGTGTGCAAGCCGTAATGGGGGGGGGGGGTATTCTATCACACCTGTCAAAGACAGCCAGACCATTCTCCAGCACTACCAAGGGAAGATATACACCAGTACAACAACTACTTGTGCAGCAAAGGAGCTTGTGAAAAAAACACGGGGGAAAAGGAGTTAAAATCACAGACAACACTTACATCCAGGACATACATACGCGGTAGCTGCTCCCACTTGTTGCGGAACTGACCAAAGAAGCTGTCGTCAGTGCTCACATACACAACGCACAGGCGATTCCTGGCATAGCGTTCCTTCGGGGGCAGATGAGCGTGCGCGGCGGTGTACATTGGACAGCAATCCAGGCTGGCGTACAAGAAGCGCTTAGATGCCGGTCCATCGAGCACTCGGTGCAGTGTTTCTTGCAGCTAAGCCAAGGACACACGACAGTCGAGGAACAGGGAGCTTGAAGTGAGCACTCAGCCAAACACAGCCTCAGAGTTGAAGCACTCAAATAGTCCCGCTGGCGGGATTTTACGGTACAACACGGCTGCATGGGTTGTCACGGCCACAGCAATGCTCACTCCAGCTGCCTGTATGAGCATACTGCACTGGGTCCAACCAGTACTGTGGGATAAATTTAGTCTTGAAAAATACCTTCCACTCCTGTTGCTTTCTCACTGCCCAAGTGAATTTTTGAAATGAATATAACAGAATTTACTGCCAAAAGTCTAAACTTGAAATTAATTGAATTAAACTTTTGCCGTGACAGAATGAGATGAGTGTGGACTGTCTAAGAATGTGTGGATGGTTGCAACGGTGCCTCGGCTTGGGTCACAAAATCCCTGCCCTTCACACGCGGCCACAATCACATTCAGTTACAGGCAAGATTGCTGCAATAACGTGTTCTACAGCTACGACGTAGACAAACCTCTGTACGCTCCGATGGCGACAGTGAAAGTGGTGAGTTCGACTGGACAATTTCCCGAATGCGCGCGACATCTTCAATGCGATCGTGCAGGACGGGGATTTCGTCGACATCGTCCACGTGTAGGCGCCGCACCTGTATAGACACGGCGCTGCCGCGTAACCGTGATGCAGCAGATGCCCGTGATGATGCTGTTGGAACGCATGCTGCGTGTGCAGGCTGCCGGCATGCTGACCCAACGTACTGAACTGCAGACACATAACAAAGAGCCAGTGTCCATAAGAGCACAAACTCAACTCAAACTCCTCCATACAGCTGTTTCGATCAAGCATATCTCATCAGTGGAAGTCGTATATAGGATACTGACTGGCTAGAACTTGTGAATAGCACTATTTTATAGAGAGAATAACTGAAAATGAGACGTGTGATCCCACGCGTTGAGGTAACATAAGTGCTAACACAGGAGCAAGATGACCTTGCCACGCGTAAGTGTACTGCAGACATGCAGACATGGATGTACAGTCAGACCTCGCATAACCGCACACATCTGTTTTCCACAAAAATATCCGGATAGGCGAGGGAACCGGATAACTGAACACACATACTGTATATGCATGTGGCATGTCAAAAGCAGTGACATCGTACATACATGTAGACGGGTCCTATGCAGTACAACTATCGTGCACAGTATGTAAAACAAGCGAGAAAAATGACAAGTGCATGCAACTAAGTCCTGTCCACATGCACCCAGCAGGTCAAGGACCTCATTTGCCGGTACAACTCCCGGATTCTAGCTTTTGGAAGCCACATGCAACCGAATACGACGAAGCTTTTTGTACACATTTTAACCAGTTTGTACACAAAATCATGCACCGGTATGCGGATCGCGAGGTCCGGTTATGTTGTATGCATAACATATGCTGCACATCGGTAACCAGCGATTTTCTTCCGGATGGCGAGGGATCCGGATAAACGAGGACCGGATAAGCGAGGTCTGACTGTATGTGATACAGTCATACTGTAGGTGCCATAGAGATCCTCGCACTCTGAAATGGCACCCTGAATATTGGGGTGATGGCTCAGACTTTCAGCTCTCTAGATAGTGCTACACCGTGTTCTAGCTATTCAGTATACTAATAGGACCATAACAAAAGGGATCGCCTCATTCGGACCTGACTCGTGTGCCAGGTATGGAAGGGGAGAGGGGGCTGAATAATATACATTTGTGCACACACAGAGGCCTTTTGCCTATTGGGATGACTGCTCCACTCGGAGCAGGTGATGAATGAAGAGGTATGGACATGTACTTGGAAAGTGAGAACTTCTGCTCTTGCTTTTACAGATCCTGGCACAAAGGTAACGAACGAGAATTCATTTCATCCTCATGTGTAAAGTGCGAACGGTCTCTATCCCCCCCCCCCCCAGTACAGCGATAGTCCAGACCAGGGAGTCGTAGTACCTGGGAGACAGCACACGGGCGACTGTTATGTGAAACGATGCAGGGTTTGCTCCTGGGCTGCCCATTCCAGTCGCACACGAGGCAGGGGTACCGTATTTTCCCGAGAATAAGCCGCACTGTGACTAGAGTATAAGCTGCACCCAGATGTTTTGTCACGAAATACAAAACATCTACTCTATTTATCACCATAAATTTGACCATCGTAGTATAAGTCGTACCGACTTTTTGGGGGGAGCATTGCTGGTTGTTAAAGTGTGGCTTATACTCCGGAATACACGGGAATTTATGTATGCTTTCATAATTCGCCATTGTTGGTCTGAGCTGCACATGGAGTCAGCAGGTCGCAACCGTGATTGCGATTGCATGGTTCATAGAGCCCGGATCACGTAGAACTCTGAATCCAGGGTCGAACGCACATTGTCGTTTCCGGCACTGTGATCTCAAGTCATCTCCATAGATGCTACGAATCTCATGGTGTCCACTGACTACGTACTAAACTAGTATTGCCCCCCCACAGCCCGGCCCCGGCCCCTCCTCAAACAATACTTCTACAGTTCATGGTAGTGTTGTAGTATTTCTGAAGTATCATAATTGAGTACGTACTGCTTGGCATACAAGATGATCAGCATGAGAACGGAAGAAGCATTAGCAGCATGATACAATCCTTGTATCCCCAGTCTATACCCATAAATTTGACTACGACTTTGGTGCAAATTCAAATTTACTATTTAATTCAAGAATTGGTTCTATCTGACCAACCTGGCGTAGGAGCACCAGAGGAAGAAATGGTTGTCCAATAGCGTCGCTGTGTCCGCAAGGGCATTAAGCCCAACTTGGGATAACGCCACATACCTACAAAGGACTACATACATTAGTTATCGAAAATACTAGTATGCAAAATAATTAATTGATTCAAACCAAGAATTTTTGTGTGGTGCAGGACCTGCAGGTTGAGCAGAGAGCATGCATGAGCTGAGATGAGACAGAGTTGTGTTCCATCACGTGCATGCATGTGTGTCGTGTAGTAGACATAGCCCGATTTTGCTAGCAATTCTGCTGGCAAAATATCGAAGAATTTTGACGAGAGAATTTGCTGGCAAAATGGAGCAAAATATCGGTATGTTCGCTGGAAATTGGGAGATTTTACACTTATACGGTGCATGTGACTCATTTTCGTACATTTTTGCCAACACGTGACTCATTTTTTCTCATTTTTGCCAACACGTGACCCACTTTCGGTCAGTTTTCCTACACGTGACCCAAATTTGGCCTTGCATTGGAGCAAAAAGGGAGCAAAATATCGAGTGACCTGGCAAAATGAAAGCAAAATATCGACGATGAGCGAGCAAAATTTTGCGGCAAAATATCGAAGTTTCCCTGGCAAAATCGGGCTTTGCCTATCGTGTAGGCCTAGCCCAAATTTGCTCGGGGCGCTTCGATATTTTGCCGGCAAATTTTGCCCGAGCACTTTCCGTATTTTGCTTGGCATTGCCTTTCGTTTCCGATATTTTGCTCCATTTTGCTCCTGCTTTGTGGCAAAATGGCTTCGAATGAACCGTCTACTTTGGTAAAAGTGGATGGTGATTGGTGACTCTGATGAGGAAAGCAAAACTTATAACGGTGTCAGTATTCCGGATTTTGTAGCATGATTTCAAATTATTATTTATGTACCCCTGACAACCTGCACGAGCTATTTCAGCACGAAGTTGGCCCAATGAAACCAAAGAAATTTGAATAAAATTGCCAAAATACACCCGGATCCTCTGAAAATTCGATATTTTGCTCGGAAGCCTTGGAGGCCTATCTCGCCTCCCGTTTGGTCCCTCTGGACAAGAACCCAGGGGTGAGACCGATCGGGATCGGGGAGGTAGTGCGCCGCATTATCGGCCGAAGCATCCTGATCGTCATCAGCGACGACATCCAGAAAGCAGCGGGAAGTTTGCAACTCTGTGGTGGCCAGGATTTCGGCATAGAGGCAGCCATTCATGCCATGCACCAAGTCTACGCCCAAGAGGAAACGGAGGGCGTCATTATGGCGGACGCGGCCAATGCGTTCAATAACCTGAACCGCAATGTGGCCATCCGAAACATTCGCCACCAATGCCCCTCTCTTGCAGCAGTTGTGATCAATTCGTACCGGCGGCCGAGCAACTTGTATGTGGCAGGGGAGTGTATTCTGTCCCAAGAAGGCACAACCCAGGGGGACCCCCTGGCGATGCCTTTCTATGCCCTCGGCATCCTCCCACTTGTGAGAGCGGTAGCAACCCCGGACACCTGCCAGCTATGGTACGCGGACGATTCATCTGCAGGTGGTCGTCTGGTAGCAATTCGATCGTGGTGGGACAAGCTGCAGGCTGAAGGTCCGTCCTACGGATATCACCTCAATGCCCGGAAGTCTGTGCTTGTGGTCAAGCCACATGCCTACGACGACGCTGTGCGCCTCTTCGCTGATACTGGCATCCAAGTAACATCTGACGGCAACCGCTACCTGGGTTCCGCTATTGGCACGCCCGACTACATCCACGGGTTCATCCAGGAGAAGGCCAATGAATGGTGCAAGCAGATTGAGACACTCTCATCCTTCGCTCGTACCCAGCCCCAGGCAGCGTACACTACTTTTGTTCGTGCTCTCTCATGCCGCTGGACATTCTTGTGTCGTGTTCTGCCGGATGCGTCAAGTGGTCTTGATCAGTTGGAACACGCCATTGTTACCAAGCTGCTGCCAGCCCTGACTGGAGAAGAAGTCAGTCTGGAGCTGCGACGGCTGTTTGCCTTCCCTTGCCGGGATGGTGGCCTGGGCATCGTCAATCCAACATCTCTAACAACCCAATACGCCTCATCCCGCGCGATCACAGCGGCGCTCACCACCAACATCCTCGACCAAGACTTCAGTGTGACGGAAGCTCTTGCCAGCATTGCCTCAGCCAAAGCGTCACAGCGTGCAGATCACCGCCAGAAAGCGAAGACCGACATCCGTGGCTTCGCTGCCGACGCATCGCCCACTTTGCAGCACACAATTCAGTTGGCAAGTGAGCCTGGCGCCTCCAGCTGGCTTACTTGTCGTCCGCTATCCCGTCATGGATTTGTGCTATCCAAAAGCGAGTTCCGCGATGGTTTGGCACTGCGCTATGGCTGGCGGCCTTCTCGCTTACCGTCAACCTGTGTCTGTGGAGCCAGCTTCACAGTAGCCCATGCCCTGACATGCAGCACCGGAGGTTTCCCGTCACTTCGACACAATGAGGTGCGGGACATCACTGCCTCGCTATTGAAACGTGTCGCCAATAGTGTCGCTATCGAGCCACACTTACAACCGCTCTCTGGTGAGCAGCTCCGCTACAAGACTGCCTCCACAGAGGACCAGGCTCGACTTGATGTTGCGGCGAGTGGTGTTTGGGGAGGTCGGTTTGAGAGAGTCTTTCTCGATATTCGGGTTTTCAACCCCTTTGCTCCCTCAAATCGATCCTCTTCCATCACCGCTTGCTACCAGCGTCATGAACGTGAAAAACGGAGGCGATACGAACAGCGCGTCAAGGAGGTCGAGCGTGGAACCTTCATCCCTGTGGTTTTCGCTGCAACTGGTGGTACTGGTCGAGCTGCTGCCGCTCTCCTCAAGAGAATAGCTGCAATGGTCTCCGACAAATCTGGTGAGCCATACTCTGCAGTGATGGCATGGATCCGCTGCAGGTTCAGCTTCGCCCTTCTCCGTGCAGGCGTGGCTTGCCTGCGTGGTGCACGACGGCTGTATTCGCACCCGGAGGTGGCTGAGTCATCCGCTCGACTCGCTGTCTCGGAAGCTGCCATACAGCACTAGACACTTGTTTATGCTTCGTCATCATTGCTTTTTCTCGTATGGTCCATGTATGTAACTACTGGTACTTGTTTTTATTGTATCACTGTGTTACTTAATTCTGCCCGTACAAGAGGCCGGACCACACTCGTAAAAAAAAAAATATTTTGCTCGGAATTTGCCAGCAATTTCTTTTCGTGGGAAATTTCGATATTTTGCCGGAAGAATTGCCGGCAAATTTGGGCTAGGCCTACATAGTGTCGTGTGAGTGTCACAGTACGAGTCGTGAGTGACTTATCACTGCACTGGCATGTGTACATGAGTCAGTGACTCGACTGTGTGTGATGACGTATGTGCGTGCGTTGTTCCGTACTACTAGTACTAGAACTATGTATACTGTACTGCGGAGCTGGAGGTACGTATACCATGGTATACGCAAGAGTAGATAAACAAGAGTGTGCAACTCGCGGATGGGTTGGCCCACGGCGGAATTTTTTGTTGACGTAATCTTTTCGACGACGCACGCGCTGCGAGCCTTTTGGAGAGGTTTCCCTCGTGCACTTGGCCGGGTTTTACACTACAAGGTCGGTGCCCAGCACGTGCTCTCACACTGCTCATGCGGCAAAGTCCGCGTTTCTCTGAAAAAAGGTGACGTCAACAAAAAATTCCGCCGTGGGCGGGGGTATCTGCAGATTGTGCAGGAGAGATCCGGAGTTGCACACTCTTGTTTATCTACTCTTGGTATACGCCACGCCACGGTGACGCTGCACCCGCGAGATAGACTCTCTTTTCGCTTTTTTATTTCATACAACAATACAATCCTTCCATCCGGTCCTGTCTAAAAACGATTGCATCACCAACATTTGCCCGGAATCAGCCCGTACAGACATGGGTAGTGCTACGAGTTCGTATTGAGGTAAATTTCCAAGTCGTCCATTGACATTGTTCTCGCATTCGCGATCTTCCTGTTTAGGTCGATGCCTCGCATGTCCAAAAGAAAGAATTGTAATTTGTAGATCACAAAAGAGATTGCACGAGTTTCAGTGCTAGCTAGCTGTAGATTGGATTTTGTGTGTGAAGAAAAATAATCATGTCAGGGACAGTGCAAGTGGTAACAGTGACCGAGGAGGTGAGGCCGCCAGCGAGCTTCACTTGCCGCATCGTGTTCGCCATCGTTGGTTCTTTTGTGGGTTATTCAGTGGCTGTCTGCCTGGGTGTAGCGTTCAAGAACCCAACTACTGGAGCTTTCGCTGGCCTATCTGGTATCCTGGCAACCATATGTTTGATACTGCATTGGAAAGCGTCCAACACGGTGCACGGCCGGCCTCGCAGATTGGAGCATCCGGGCCGACTTGTAGTGCTTTCTGTAGTCGGTGCAACGTTTGTTATTATCGGAATCGGTACTTTCATCACATTCATAGCAGTGGCAGCTTACCAGAAGCAAGGTGAACATCATGTATGTGTGTGTGTGCGCGCGCGCGTGTGTGTGTGTGTGTGTGTGTGTGTGTGTGCGCGCGTGTGTGTGTGTGCTCGCGCGCGCGCGCGTGTGTGTGTGTGTGTGTGTGTGTGTGACACTGACAGACAGTCAGTGCAAACATGTACAGTGTTCTAGCCAGGTCAAAATAGTAGGGCATGGGAAAAAGTTACCCCATGACCAATTTTTTCCATTGTCCAAAATTGTCTTGCCATGCAAAATGTAACATACGGGGTGAACCCCCGACTTCACCCCTCACAAATGTGCCTTTATGAACCCTCTAGTAGTGACTATCGACTGTATTTTCGTTGAATGGCGTGAAAAAACACAAAAATCGGAAAATGAGTAGGGGGGGGCGGCACTTTTTCACAGGGGGCGCGCAAACGGAGTAGGGGGGCGCTGCGCCCCCCCTACCCCCCTTTAGCTAGAACCCTGATGTATACACAGGACGGCCGAAAGCAGTTTTCAATTGGTCCGGTCGTACCATACTTTGTGTATGATATGTGGGGGGGGGGGGGGAGGGTACACAATCTACACATGCCCTCCTCAGCAGTAAACATGCGTTGGTGGCCACAACGTTGGTCCGGTGTTAACCCTTTAAGAGCCGCCCCATACTTGAATGCAAAACTTCAAAAGATCGTAACTCAGTCGAATCTCGCTGAAATCCAGTCATGGAAATATCCAGGGCGAAGAGAAAACTCTCACCTGTCGGGAGAAGCAATCCGCGAAGCGCTGCGAACAACGGTTCCTGAGATAAATCACTCGTAAGTTGAGCCGCGATCGCGGCAATTTCAAAAGCGCGCAGTGCGACTTTAGTATTGAGAATTTTGAGACTTTTCGTCACGCTGGTTTACTCGAATTTGCACGGGTTTCACTGTTGATATTGTCAAGAGTACACAGCGAAAAAATTGGAACTCCACGATCGAGTAAAATGAAATATCTGGAGCGGGACGCAATTGGACGCATTTGGGGCATTTTTCGTACTGTCGCTGCGATCTAGCGCTGGATAGACGGTGTGCTGGCTATCATGATCGACCTCATTCTCTTCCTCTCGCGGAGACCGTTCCAGGAAGCCCTAGATTGTGAGAATTGAGTGAGTAGAACTGAAGCTATGATCCAAGGAACACGAAAAAATGCAGAATTTTGAAATTTTCCTGTGGCTCTTAAAGGGTTAACCTGACCAACCGGACCGGTTCCGGCGGGCCTGATATGCATGTGTCACCATGCTTACACCATAGGCACATGTTCACTTACCGTAAAGTCGCGGATAAAAGCCGGATTTGCATACAAGCACATCGCGGATAGAAGCCTGAAAATCAAACGGGTCAAATGCATATAAGCCTGTCGCGCGTAGAAGCCTGGCTTCTATGCAAGCGCGGATCGGGTAGGTCAAGAGTGCATGCCCTATGTACAGTGCATAGTAAAACTGCCGCCATACCGGTAGTCAGTGGTACACATGCCGATGTGCATACAAGCCTGGCCAAAAAAATCAGTGGTGCATATAAGCATGGTTTGCATACAAGCCTGGTTTGCATTAAAGCCTGATGCAGAAAGCGGCTTATATGCTTATAAGCCCGGCTTTTATCCACGACTTTACGGTATGTACTTCTGTGCAATGCTTTGAAAGTTCAGAGTACAGCAGAACGCCGGTTATCCGGACGTCAACTATCCGGATGATCGATTATCCGGATTGCCTGGGCGGGCTGAACAAACAAATTTGCAGCTTTTTGCTTTTTTTGCTGGTTTTCCCAACTCGGAGCACCATTCAAGTGATGCACAAGATGTATCACAACAGCTTGGAGTCGAAATGTATATCGATAGTGTCATTTTAGGAGCTGGAGTGCGCGTAGACTACAAGTTCTTGAAGAGAATGAAAAATGATGAAAACATGCATGAATATGCATGTTTTAGACAGATGTGTAACTGCTCCCTTATCCGAACATTCTTCTCATCCGAACCCCCTGGAGACAGCCTGCGCCCCAAGGGGTGCGGATACAGTAGTCGGCACTCTACTGTACATGGACTTGTATTTTAGCATACCATAGCATATTTTCCGGACTATAAGCCACACTTTTAACACTCGACATTCACCCAAAAAATTCGGCGTGGCATCTGTACCAAGTCTCAGTGTTGACAATAATTGACATCTCCAGAGTGTGCTGGAGGAATACATTCATACCACTGTTCATACATGTATTGTGTCACAGTCACACCTACTCTGTGACACGACTAATGTGTGTGTGTGTGTGTGTGTGTGTGTGTGTGTGTGTGTGTGTGTGTGTGTGTGTGTGTGAGAGAGAGAGGTGTGGTGTGTGTGTGCGTGTGTGTATGTGTGTGTGTGCGTGTGTGTGTGTGTGTGTGTCGATATGCAGGGCTCCATCCCGATCACGACGGCTATTACCTGACATCCATCTGGTGCGCCATGACAACCAAGTGGGCTGCTCTGCTTCTTTTCTACTCGCGTCAGTACAAGAGGATTTTCTTTGCTGGATATCGGCCAGAGAACGAGAGTCTCATCAATCACTGAGCAATGGCGATAGGACTGCAGCACTGCAGTCCAGCAAACTTGTGGTGAGAGCGCTGGCAGGGCAATGCAGTGAAGTGTCCACCTGGGCAGATAACGTGTGAATGTATGCCGCCCGCCGTCCAGGCTCGCGCTGTTCAGGGATTAACAGCCGGCCCATCTCTCTCTCCTGTGATCTTGTCTCGATGTCTTGCGTGCCGGCATGTCACTGGCCTATAGTGATGTCCCACTGCCGGCGGCCAAGAGTACTCCCAGAGCGGTATGGCATGTTTATTTATAACTTATAAGTACACCGCTCCAATCCGGACCGGACCACGGTCCCTCCCTGTATGCAGTAGGACCACAGCCTGGCGTGTGACATAACTCATGCGACAAGCTAGTCCCAGCACAAAAAGGACTATCATGAAAAGCGCCGGTAAAGCCATGCTGCTGGTTTCGGCCAAGGCAAAACGGTTTTCTTCGGATCTGCGAGGAGCTGCATCAGCTCGTGGCAGCGTGCACGACGAAACCAATCAAGCTCTTCCCAGCTCCTTTCTTTTCTACTTCAAATAGTTTACGTACCAGATCCAGCTAGTCTTCTCTCAATGCATTCCTGTTAGATTTCCCAAGGATGCTACTTAGCAGTTTTAAAAATAGTACTAACCATTCATGCCGTAGTGTAGTTAGTATACCTGCTCTACGTACTCTTAGGTTTTTACTCAAACCGTAACAGGTGCTACGAGTTACATTGTACTCGTGTCATTAACCTCTTAGTTTTTTACTCGAGCCGTAACAGGTGCTACGAGCTACTCGTGTCATTAACCTCTTAGTTTTTTACTCGAACCGTAACAGGTGCTACGAGCTACTCGTGTCATTAACCTCTTAGTTTTTTTTTAATTAAATTAACCGCTTCCTGAAGAATTTGAATTTTCATTCTCTCAGTTTGCATACAGCCATTTCCGGGTCAATCTTATCAGCTGCCCTATATGTGGCCCAGTTCACGACGATTTGTTCGAACGAAACTCTGTGTCTTGGTTACCATACAGTCAATGTAGGAATCATTGTGAGGTAGGTCCTACAACTTAGTACAAGATGGAAACAAAGAATGAGAGGCAGAAGGAAAGACAGCACAATCATGCAATAGTGCCAGTAGTGGCTGGCAGTCTCAACATGTCACGTGGAGGGGAATGGGCTGAAATAATGTTTTTTTAATTAAAGCGGTTCTTACCAGGGGATGCACCGGGGGATGATTCCCTCTCTAAGAATTTGTCTCGACGGTTATACTTGTAGCCTATATAGGTAATAAAATAAAGAATCTGCCAGTATTCAAGCACATCATATACGATACAGACAGCAGGTGTGCGATGATGAGGATGAGGATGACACGGCAAATGCTACGCAAGTGACAATGTGGAGTGGTTGAAATGATTGCAGATTATAGGCATTTTAGCATGAAATGGGTGTGTTTTGTAACCTGCTCTGTGTTTGAGATGTGGAAATGTGGAAATGTGGTGCGGTTACAACAGCCGTACAGGTATATGTTGAGCGTCTGTGTCCATTGGTTGACAGCGAGTACATTGCAACACATCCTTGACTGGCTTGACTGGTATGTCCGTACGTCCACCGTGGCTGCCAGCCCCAGCAACCCACACAAACTGTACATGTACGCTCCGAGACCGACGCTGAGAACTTAGACCGCAATAACACCATGCTGTCACTGGTGTGTACAACCACAAGCTGAGTGTGTGTGTGCGTGTGTGCTCACGCGCCCGTACGCGTGTGTCACAGCGGCCATTACTGGGTGTGACCATGGTACTGGAGGTGCTGTACAGTCATGCAGCTAAGCCACTGACAACTATGCCCGCTGCAGTGAACTTTGCCATCCAAGCAGGCGACAGGAGAGCTTGTCCCACAGCACAGGACTGCAAAGAAGTCAAATACAGGTACCAGCTGCACGACGATCATAGTGGGTGCAGTGTAGAGCGCGAGACTTGCGACTGTTTATATCAGCGAGACTTGCGATTGTTTATACCAGCGAGACTTGCGACTGTTTACACCAGCGAGACTTGCGATTGTTTATACCAGCGAGACTTGCGACTGTTTATATTAGCAAGACGTAGAGTACGGCGGGCTCATAGGACTGCTTCACACCGGTAGTACGACACGGAGGTAGCCACAGATGAACAACACCAACTGGAACAAGCATTCTACTCCAATCTTGTAGAGCTGTTGTAGAGGAGTAAAGGCAAATGACATCAGCTGGTACCAACACTCTGCTGTCATGTAGCAGAGCTGAGCCTGGAGTGGAGGAACCTCAACTGGAGCGTAACACTTGGTGGCAACTGTTTTCCTATCATGTTTGGCTCAGGAGGTTGTGCTGCGGTGGTGATGATGCTTCTTCTTCGTCTTTGGATTGGCGACGAGCGGTGCACACTTGGGACAATACCACTTGCCGACAGGCTCTGACGACAGATTGACGCACGGGTAGTGGAACCACTCAATCGGACACTGTACATAAAGAAACACACACGTGCACACACACACGTGCACACACACACACACACACACACACACACACGCACACACACACACATGCACACACACACACACACACACACGGACTAAAGACATCATTCTGACCTCACCAACCATACCAACATACATCTATTCTTTGTACCAGTTTCGTGACATCTATTGGAGATATTGCCTGCTGCAAGAGACGAGTGCTGGTATTTACGCTTAGTATTCACAGTACCAAAGGGCATCATTAAATAAAGCAGTCTTCAAACTACAGTATAGTACTAGTACTAGAGTTGTGACACTGTAGTAACTGGTAAGTAAGGTAGCAAGATAGTGGTGAGACAGGAGTGGAAACAAGCAGTATCCGACTTACAGTAGGATTGTCACATGCCACCATGTCACCGTATGATATCTGCAGAACACAGCAGGAACAAAAACACAAGAGTCAAGTTTAAATGTTATAGTTCCAACTGCATACAAAGAAGCCATAAGAATCCTTTCCAGAAGACAGAAAAGAACAAGATGATGCGACATGCTATGCTGGAAGGGCAAGACCGCCAAGGGAAAGGGGAGATTGTGGGTGTGCGCGTGCGCACGCGCGTGTGTGTGTGTGTGTGTACGTGTGTCCCATATGGTGCAGTGGTATGTGCAGTCGATTTCCAATCGAGAGGTTGCGGGTTCAATTCCCGACGATTATGGTCGCACACGTCTTTCTTCTCTTTCTCGGACTCTTCCTGACTTTTCTTTCATTCTCCTGGGTGGTTATCAACAGCCAGTGTATGCCGGAGTATGTGGTGTGGTGTGTGTACAGAAAAAAATGGAAAAATGAAAAAAATAGGGATTCACTGGCCAGAAAAAGTCACTTCAAACAGCTGTGTGGTGGATACCAGGCTAAAAATAGTGGCGGTCAATTCATCAGCCTTGCAAGCTGTTGAATGGTGTAATCCCAGCACAAGTTGCTATGTCTAACATAGCTGTTCGCTATCATCGCTTCCGAGATGGGCATGTCTGAGAGGTCTGAGGTGTGTGCATGAAAGCGTGCACATGTACTGATTTTTCACATGATCTGAAATTCTGCCGGCGCAGACTCCAGACAGACAATAATCTCTTGCAGGCTAAGCGCTCTTGCTCTCCACAACAACAACAACAACAACAACAACAACAACAACAACAACAACAACAACAACAACAACACCATGTATAGTAATTCATGGCATGTACTAGTATACAGACCTGGTTACAGATGCAGTAGAGCTTCTCAGCTTCGCTCGGGTCGATGTTCGGATCGACCGCAGCGGGAGCATTCCAGTCAGCTTGCGCTGTGGCGGCGGCGGCAGCCATCTGCTGCTGCTGTACTTGGCCAGGTGAGTGTGTAGCTGAGTCGACGCCGGAAACAAAGCTGCTTGACGGATGCGGTAACGTGGACGCGGACACATTCATGTTTGCCAGCGTTGACGTCAGGGTTTGCGACTTCAGTCTGCACAACAAAATGCCCAACAAGACGTGGCAGCACTGTCGAAAGACTTTAAGCATGATGACATACAGTACACCCACAAGACACTGCAGCCTGTAAATCCAGCACGAGAGACGGCACCGGACTGCAATGCACTACGTGTAGTACAGCGGAGCCTGCGGTGAGCAACCACACCATGGAGCACCCGTCCTTATACTAGACAGGCGGCCTTTCAATACAGGTCAACATAGGTTCAAGTGTGTGAAGCAACATGGCTGGGTCTTGAAATGACTGGTCTCATAAGACAGGTGGTGACCAAAACACAGGTCTTACTGCGCATTGTACAGTGGTTGCTAAACACAGGTCTTACTGCGCATTGTACAGTGCTTGCTAAACACAGGTCTTACTGCACATAGTACAGTGGTTGCTAAACACAGGTCTTACTGTGCATTGTACAGTGGTTGCTAAAGACAGGTCTTACTGTGCATTGTACAGTGGTTGCTAAACACAGGTCTTACTGTGCATTGTACAGTGGTTGCTAAACACAGGTCTTACTGCGCATTGTACAGTGCTTGCTAAACACAGGTGGTGACCAAAACACAGGTCTTACTGCGCATTGTACAGTGGTTGCTAAACACAGGTCTTACTGCGCATTGTACAGTGGTTGCCAAACACAGGTCTTACTGTGCATTGTACAGTGCTTGCTAAACACAGGTCTTACTGCACATATTACAGTGCTTGCTAAACACAGGTCTTACTGTGCATTGTACAGTGGTTGCTAAACACAGGTCTTACTGCGCATTGTACAGTGCTTGCTAAACACAGGTCTTACTGCACATTGTACAGTGGTTGCTAAACACAGGTCTTACTGTGCATTGTACAGTGGTTGCTAAACACAGGTCTTACTGTGCATTGTACAGTGGTTGCTAAACACAGGTCTTACTGCGCATTGTACAGTGGTTGCTAAACACAGGTCTTACTGTGCATTGTACAGTGGTTGCTAAACACAGGTCTTACTGTGCATTGTACAGTGGTTGCTAAACACAGGTCTTACTGTGCATTGTACAGTGGTTGCTAAACACAGGTCTTACTGTGCATTGTACAGTGCTTGCTTAACACAGGTCTTACTGCGCATTGTACAGTGGTTGCTAAACACAGGTCCCACTGTGCATTGTACAGTGCTTGCTAAACACAGGTCTTACCGCGCATTGTACAGTGCTTGCTAAACACAGGTCTTACTGTGCATTGTACAGTGGTTGCTAAACACAGGTCTTACTGCGCATTGTACAGTGCTTGCTAAACACAGGTCTTACTGTGCATTGTACAGTGCTTGCTAAACACAGGTCTTACTGCGCATTGTACAGTGCTTGCTAAACACAGGTCCCACTGCGCATTGTACAGTGGTTGCTAAACACAGGTCTTACTGCGCATTGTACAGTGGTTGCTAAACACAGGTCTACTAGTATATCTAAGACAGTAAGAGTATCACATGGCGTTGATAACGATGTTTTGCTACACGGCATACAGTACTGTCGTGTGCCGAAGAACTGGGGGAGGAGGTCAGCCGCCTAGCCTAGGCCGTTCTTATTTTCCTGCACTACAGTCTATGAACAGTTGAGTCACTGTGTATACAATGGTATGCTGTGCTTGGTGAAATCCTAGCCTGGTCGTTCTTCGGCACCTGACAGTACTGTAGTACCCGCAGCATTGAGCAGCTTTGAGCTAACTGCATTGCACGACTAACCGCTTTTTCGACTTGTGCTTCTTGACATGAGCGGAGCCAGAAGCCAACGCCGCCCCGAGAACGTCAATCTTGCTGTCCGAAGCCGGTAACATTACACCGACAGGAACTGACGCAGTTGCTGACGGCACAACGGTGCTGAGCAGGGGATTGACAACAACACACAAGAGAAATGAAGACAAGCCAAGTACAGTGCTGCTCAATGAAATCCAATCATGTCACTGCATTGTACAATCATGTCACTGCATTGTACAATCATGTCACTGCATTGTTCCTCCTGCACCCGGCGTGTTACGCCACTCCAGCAACCCTTCTCTGAAGGCACTGCTGTTATACGCGTCTCCTTTGCCGATTTTCATTAGCAAGTGCTTCATGGCCTTGACCGCCGCCTCAGCCGTGCCATTCGACTGAGACTTGTACCGGCTGCTGGGGTCGTGGCAAACGTTCCACTCTGAGCAGAATGAAGCGAATGCTGAAGACCTGAACTGTGGCCCGCCATCCGTCGTGAGGCGCGTGGGAACGCCGACGTCCGACATCCACTGAACGAGCTGTTTGGTGACATCAGGTGTGGTAGCCGACCTCCCACAACGCCTGGCGCATACTTGAGTGATGCGACTGGATTTCATTGAGCAGTATTGTTCAAGCTACCTGGAGCTTTGGCTAATCACTCAACCTTCGACTTCTCAACACAATGGGAAATACATGTATTTCAATGAAGTACTTTGCTTGGCAGGTTAGATGTGAAATGTCCACTGGGCTAAATCTGCTATGAACTTCACATTGTACACATGCCCATGGATGTCATGTTTGTGCCCCTCCCCCCCCCCCCCCCCCAACACACATACATAAAAAATAAAATACCTCGGCCTATTTAGCTCGTAGCTGTACTGATGAGGCCTTTATGGCCGAAACAGCTTGCTGTCTACAGCATTGGGTATCACGCTCCTCGGCTTTCGCCTTGTTGAGCACTCTCAGTAGGCTGCTCTAGTGCTGCTGCATCGCGCAATGCCCGCTACATTTTGTAGTTTGAGCACTCTGGCGCTAGAGCGACGAGCTACCTTAATGTCTGTGGTGCCTCCTTTGCACCATGGCTGGTAGCTCGGCCTATTTAGCTCGTAGCTGTACTGATGAGGCCTTTATGGCCGAAACAACTTGCTGTCTACAGCATTGGGTAAAAAATAAAATAAATTAAATTTCACGGTTCGCGTGAGACTCGGCTGGAAGCCGAGTTTTCCGCATCCGCCGTGGGAACGCCACCACCCTCTAGGATCAAAGCGCAGATGCAGCGCCTAAACGGTGGGAGGTGACACACATACATACAATCACCAAAATACGAATGCACATACACACTTGAATACAAACGTGCATACAGGAACAGGCACACACAAACACACACACGCACGCACTATCCCAGTACCTGGCCGACGGTGTTTTCCTGGCATGCGGGACAAGTGAGGTGGTCGACGCTGCTACCGCTGCACTCTGATGTCTATTCTTAGACTGGCCAGTCCGTGGGGTGCTGGCAAAGGCAAAGCTGCCATCTGGATACAGAACAAGTCGCATTAAGTCATGCATACACAGAGCAAGCATGAGAATGACTGTGGCATAAGCACAAAGAGTATCTTGCACGTGAGCAACATCTTGCAAAAAGAAGATACGGAGTGACACAGCTCGCTTACCAGCAAATCCAGCGGTATGCTCCGGCGAGAACACAGGTTGGCTGGGTAAGCCACCGCCATTGAGCGCTGGTGATGCGAGGCCAGAGCGAGACATCTGCTGGCTGAAAAATGCAGAGTCGGAGTTGGTGCGCACCATGTTCGGAGTCAGCGTTAGTGACAGGTCCGGAGCTGTGTTGGCTGCTGCATTGCGACGAATGTTTTCTGAGTGCAGCATCAATAAGTGTGCATACGTACATACATGCACACATATATACACACACACACACACACACACGCACGCACACACACACATACACGCACGCACACACGCACACACACGCACACACACACACAAACGTACGGACACAGGCATGGACACACACGGACACACACACACATACGCACACACACAAACGTACGGACACAGGCATGGACACACACGGACACACACATTGTAATAATGTGTACACTAAGCAGAGCGAAGAACAGCAATAATTAAAGGACCCAGCGTACTAGTACCGTAAAGTACCGTTGATCCGTCCCCCACGCCATGTCGCTTCCCAGCTGGGTTTTCGGCAGGGGGCGGGAATTAGATTAAGGCTGTGAAGTGCAGTACGATGTACAACAACGTGAAGGATCAGACTCGATGTGCTGGATTGTGCACATTTTCATCCTGGATTGGCACGTATTATGTACAGCAGTGCAAGCGTCGGTTCAACATCGTATTTCGTTGTATACCAGGCGCGTCGGAACGACTTTGGAGGTGGGGCGGCCATGGGTCCGGGGTCCTCCCCGGGAAAAAATTTCAAAAATTAAAGCCAATTGCAAGCATTTCCGGGCATTTGGTGCCATTTCAGTGTAACTACAATGAAAGACTTTTTGATTCTGCAAAAAAACAAGAAGATGCTACGATCGGGGACAAACATTACCCTCCCCCGGGAAAAAAATTCAAAAATTGAAGCCAATTGCAAGCATTCCCAGGCATTTGCCAATGATTTGATGCCGAAGTTCAGTGTACATGGACTTTTGATTCTGCAACAAACCACTATCGGGGACAAGGATTTGCCACGTTTGCGCTGAGATCATCGCGCTTTGTTGCAGTGTGCTAAAAAAAAAAAAAAATTAAAAAAAACGGCCGAAAAAGTGGGGCGGCCATGGCCACCCCGGCCGGTGCGGTTCCGACGCCCTTGTATACGCCGAAATCGCTTCACAGGTAGAAAATCGATAGGGGGCGGGAATTAGAGAGGGGGCGGATCAACGGTACTTTACGGTACATGTAGTAGTATAACTGAACCTTGTAAAGAGGAAAAAAGCACACTACATTGATGGCATATAGAATGGAAATTAGGAACTCACTGCTACTCGTGGCGGAACGGGACGTTCCACTGCTACTGGCCATGGGCTGTGCAACTTCATCCAATTGTAGTGATCCTATGTACGCAAGCAACACACACAAAGCAAAGAGCATTACTGTGGCAACAGTACTAAACAATACAAGAATACTAGCAATATCAATGAACGCATAAGTGCTCATGCATGTGTGTACGCCAGCATGCACACTCACCCAGCCCCCACCCCCTACATACGCACGTATGCACGCACGCACCCACACGTACGCGTGCGCGCACGCGCGCGCACACACACACACACACAAACACACACACACACACACACACATGCCGATAAGTGGCACAAAACGAACACTCCCGTTCACTGTGTGCACCCTGCACAAACAGAAAATTGAGACGGAAATCTCCCCGGCAGGGTGTCCGTCCGGGCTGTACGAGTACAGTAGATCAAGGTGATATTAAACGATGGCATCCGAACCACTGTAGCCACTTCATGTTTCACACCATTCCTGAAGATGGGCCTGGTCCGAAAATGTGGATAGAATTTATTTTTTCATCTGGAAGAATGTGTAGCCAAGAGACCGTTTCTAGGTAATGGTGTATAATTGTGTGAAGCATCCAAACCAAACCAAGGGACAAGGCTTGCAATATCCACAGACAAATCGTTTCTCTCGCTCCATCAGGGCTTTAAAGTACATGACAATTTCAGGGCAGTCCTGTGGAAGTCGCCGCACCCAGACAGACAGACACACAGACACACTAAGGTGCCATTGCATGGAGAAATGCGACCAAGATGACTTACTCTTTTCCAGTTCCTCCGTCAGTCCGGGAGTGTCAGCTTCCAGTTCAAACTTGAACTTGTTAAGCTCAGCCTCCAGTTTGCGCACGTGTCGCTGCATCTAACAGGTCATACACAAGACAGGCGTATCCACAGCACGCACAGTTGCAGCACATTGCTGGCTTTTAAAGGGAAGTCCACCCTAAAATGAAAACTTCACAACCTGTAGCGAAACATGTACTGGTTCCAATGGTGAAGGGCCCAGGTTGATCGGAGCAGCCGTTCCCGAGATATACCAGCTCTTAAGTTTGCACTAAATTTGGTGACATCATTGTGATGTCACAAACTTATCCAGACTAGGCCAGATTTATTATGTCAGAGAGATAGACTTTGTATGGGAGCAGATGGGGATATTTCAGTATTTCGGCTCTCCATTGTCCCAAAGAAAACGGATGTTTTTCAAACTTTGGTATGGGACACATGGCACCCTACCGGTATCCCAACTGGAAACAAATCTAGTATGAAATTCATTGATGCAAAGAAACAAGAAAGAAATTGGTTTTCCCCATCTACTCCCATACAAAGTCTATCTCTCTGACGTCATAAATCCGGCCTACAATGTAGTCCTAGTGTGTGTGTGTGTGTGTGTGTGTGTCTCTCTCTCTCTCTCTCTCTCTCTCTCTCTCTCTCTCTCTCTCTCTCTCTCTCTCTCTCTCTCTCTCTCTCTCTCTCTCTCTCTCTCTCTCTCTCTCTCTCTCTCTCTCTCTCTCTCTCTCTCTCTCTCTCTCTCTCTCTCTCTCTCTCTCTCTCTCTCTCTCTCTCTCTCTCTGTCTCTCTCTGTCTCTCTCTGTCTCTCTCTCTCTCTGTCTCTCTCTCTCTCTCTCTGTCTCTGTCTCTCTCTGTCTCTCTCTCTCTCTGTCTGTCTGTCCGTCCGTCTGTCTATTTCTGTCTGTCTGTCTGTCTGTCTGTCTGTCTGTCTGTCTGTCTGTCTGTCTGTCTGTCTGTCTCTCTCTCTTTCTCTTTCTCTTTCTCTCTCTCTCTGTCTCTGTCTCTGACTGTCTCTCTGTCTTTCTCGGTCTGTCTGTCTGTCTGTCTGTATGTATGTATGTCTGTCTGTCTCTGTCTGTGTGTCTCTCTCTGTCTCTCTCTCTGTGTCTTCTCTGTCTGTCTCTGTCTCCGTCTCTTTCTCACACACACAATCACATGCACACATGAATACCTGTTCTTCCATTTGCGTGGCAATGTTGATTTTCTCCGTGGAATTCTCCAGTGCCTTGCCATACTCCTACACCATGATGCAGGAAAACAGAAATATGGCCGTCAGACAATTTAAAGCTACAAACCAGAAATCAAGGATAGTGACAACTATGCACACTGCTCATAGTACTGGCCTCCCCACAAATTCAGAGTACTTAGTACGTGTACCTCTATATCACACTCAAGAAATGAACAAGCTCCAGGCTCCTCACAATCAACATCTTCAAACTTTCTCACGGATACTTTCATTGCCTTCTCGTCAGGTGGAATACAGGCAAAAAGAAACTCACTAAGCACAATGAATTTTATCAGGAGTATTATATTATAAACAAGAGTGTGTAACTCCGCATCTCTTCTGCACAATCTGCAGATGCCCTGGCCCACTGCGGAATTTTTTTGTTGACGTCACCTTTTCAGAAAGCACGACACGTGTCGTACAGAGCACGCGCATTTTGCCGCAAAGCAGTGTGAGAGCACGTGCTGGGCACTGACCTTGTAATGTAAAGCCCGGCCAAGTGCACGACGCAAAACTTCCCAAAAGACTCGCAGCGAGTGCGTCGTAGAAAAGATTACGTCAAGAAAAATTTCCGCCATAGGCCAACCCATGCGCGAGTTGCACACTCTTGTTTATCTACTCTTGATTTCATGCAGCACTGATGTGCTAGCAATAGTGTAAAGAAGAGTAGTGCTGTTGTTATCACATTAAGTTACTGGGGAAGCGAGGAGCTTGAAGTGTGTTCTTTTCTTGAGCGTGATTGCAGTTTTGCCTCCAAGAAAACTATGTACATGTATCACTATAATTATCACAGCAACTTTCCTCTTCAACACGTGGGGTGTGTGAAACGGGTACCTCTGTACAATGACAGTGTTGGCTCCAATGGCCCTGATCAAAGCATGTCCACATACTGTAAATCGAGAGTATTTGAATTATATTTAACACGTTTAACTTTGAAATTTGGTATGCGAGGCTGAAAACGAAACGAAAACGTACACTGACCCCATATCCATGACAATTGTACAGAAGGCTTACTGGACAGTTTATCCGTACAAAAGTAGGGTGCATATAAACGTGCTTTAGATGAAAATGTACAAATAATATCACAAACACACACACGCACGCACACACGCACACACACACACACACACACACACACACACACACACACACACACACACACACACACACACACACACACACACACAATCATTATGATCACGTACAGAGCAGATGCCTTGGTACTCGGAGTCCGGATTTTCCACCTTTGACTTCTTCATCAAATTGAAATAGTCCGTAGTCCGCGTCTCAATGTTGTCCAGTGCATCTACACCATGTACACAGCATACAGGTAACACAGCCATACATCACCATAATGTCCAAACAATAAAGAGCTCAACAGACACCCAAATACTGCAAGTAGCATTCAAGATTACAGTGCCAGTAAACCTCTGTTCAGCAACCAGTGCAATAAAATACCACCTGGTTTGAGAGACCACCTGTGTTGAAGGACCCCCTGGGTCATCTCTGCCTCAGGCATCAATCCCCCAGCCAAGACAGTGCTCCAGCATAGATTTTCTCTATCTGCATAGAGAAAATCGCCTGACTGGCTTCTGTGCACTACCGGTGGTTGCACAACACACGTCACCTCTGTTCTACACTGACTATAGACATTCAGGGCAACAACTACCACCCAGGCTGCATTCAATTCAACAGATCACGTGTTCATGGGCATATTACAGGCAAGCAAAGGCACAGGGAACTGAAGCGTGGATAAACGAGGGTACATTGTACCACAAAAGGCATGACACATGACCCTAGTGTGGGCAGCATGACCAGAGAGGATCTAATAATTATACACTCGTGTTGTTCAATGCAAAAAAATTAAGCACACACATGCACAAATATGTCCCTCGATTTCTCTTACTTTGCACGTGAAGGTCCAACTCGCGCATTTCTGTCAAGCGGTCCCGGATGTCCTGCGGGACATGCTCTATCACTGTAGCACAGAAACAAGAAATACAATTCAGCTAATACCATGAAGGCTTGCACAGTATGTTTGTCAAGTCAAACGGATAGTAGAGAGCTATAAACGAGTAAGTGAAATACCAATCTAGTCAGCCGCTACTCAGTGTATGTGTGTGTGTGGAGAGAGAGAGAGAGAGAGAGAGAGAGAGAGAGAGAGAGAGAGAGAGAGAGAGAGAGAGAGAGAGAGAGAGAGAGAGAGAGAGAGAGAGAGAGAGAGGGAGAGGGAGAGAGAGAGAGAGAGCAGGCATGCACCTGGAGAAAAGATAGACACGGACCTATGTGCAGAGCTACAGTAACGCTACTAACGCCACATGCAATACTGTGACGCTGCAAGCCAACACCCATGAAACCGTGCATGAGATGCCCATATGAAAACCTCACGCTTCTCTAACAAAATCATTGCTATGTTGCGGAGACCAGCATGGCACGCAGGAAGAATTCAAGACAGCTTCACACAATGTTCTATCAACTACACATAGGGTACAGTGGAAAAAATAAGTTAATCTCTACTCAAGAGGTTCTAGCTACAACACAATCATCAGGAAAATAGTCTCCTGGTGATTGTGTTGTAGCTAGAACATCTGAGTAGAAATTAGCTGATTTTCCATTCCTGTGACGGGACCCTACGTGTGATAAGGTTGTGCAGTATCGAGCGAGTCTCGCATTGAGCACTTTGACCTGTTGTCAAGGTTACCCCATAATGTTCTATGAACGTTTGCCCGGCGAATATTCAACTGGAGACGGGAAATATTGCCGATCAGTAGCGACGATTCTACAATAATATCAGTCTACTCATCATCACTCCAACTATAACCTCCAAGTACAGGCAAATGCGAGAGAAAGACCTGTTTCTCACCCGCATACCATGCACAGTTGTAATCACCCTGCTGCAGTTCACAGCCCCAGTGTTCGCGGCAGTGATGGTGCTCGGCGGTGCTCCGCACTAACTAGCCCACGCACGACACTGGGTTTGTTGGAGCATAACTATAGAAAGTTAGAAGTGCACATGCTCAAATTTCTAAGAAATTGTAACAGGGTTGTTGGCATGTTTCCCATCACGTTTGGAGACCTTCCTTGTCACTAAAATGTACCGGTATGTATTATGTATGCGGCCATCAAACAGCCCAGGTATTAACACGGCATTAATTCTATACCAGTAATTATCAGGGTTTCCAAGCTCAAGGAAGCACAATGACAACTGCACTCGTCCCACCACCCTCTTCCGCATGCAACCCCCCCGGGACGGTGATCAAAAATATGCAAGACCAGTGAACATAGCATGCATGCAAGGTGCAGCTATAACATACTTTCAACATAATCTTCCAAGTACAGCATGATTGCTAGTCTTGCAAAACTCCAATAGCTCCAGTTCCTGAGAAGAATAAGAAGAACCCTCTTTCCTGCACACTTCTCTTGACGCTCTACCAGAGTCGGTGGATATAGAGTCTGTTCATGACATTGCTATTTCATTGAAAATTTGAAAAACACAAGACGACTTTGAAAATGAAAGAACACAGCCAAACTCCAATAATTATGACGTCGTAAATGAGATCAGAGCATTACGTATGACGTTCTCAACCAGGCGCGGCGCGCCGGCGAGGGCCGCGGCCGGCGCGGTGCCATTTTCCATCATGATGACCTCACCACCATAATTTTACGTCAAAAAATTGAAGACTGACATGATCGGCGATAAAATTCGAATCGAATGGTCAGCAGCAGTTTCCGAGCTTGAGAGACAGAGAGTAGATCTACGAGTCAACTAAACTTACTTCGAACACAGGCAACAAGGCAATCGACCTCTGTTAGCTGTTTGAAATAGGTGCATCGTTGCCCTTGTTGGATTTTGGTAGGAGTTGCGGATTCGGTTGTGATCATGGAGAAAGATTTGGATGCCTTGATGAATAGCACGTAAGTACTTGGACAAAAACAACAGTCTGTTTATTTCGATTTCTCCATTGCCATTAGTCTTGAAGTAACTTTAGTGTAAGACACACTACACGTATTCCAGACCTGATGTTGCTGTCGACGTTGAGCTAGGCCTGATCAATGTACTACTTGCCAGTATTCGTCAACGCATGTTACTAGTACATCCAACATTCGAAGAGATAGGCTATTGTGTACATGTACATGTACATGTACAATCAGAGTACATACTACTATCAGAATACATGTACATGTACCACCAGTGGAGGACTTCCAGGGAGTTGTCTATCTCACATGGCATTCGTGTGTACATGTACATGTAGCTGGCTCAGTTTCTCACTTCTAGGCAGCAATCACTCAGGAATAACTCTCCACTACATGTGTGTGTATGTGATAGGTGTGCGTAAAAACGCATGATCCATTGGTGTAGGAGAAAGCTGTGTTCATCATTCAGAGTGAGTGATTTGTGATCCTGATCTTGTCCATAGTGCATACATGTAGCAGCTACTATAGCTTCATTGCATGGATGAGGTTAGAAAAGGGTTTTGAGTGCAGGCAACTGTGCTCAGACATTAAGAGGTGGAGAGCTACTACTGTAGTACAAGACTTAGTTTTGTTTGGGCTTTATTGCTGGATGTGTGCAGGATGTCCGAACGTGGCGTGGTCGGTGTGCTGTGCGCCGATAAAACTGGACTAACTCTTAGCAGTAAGTGCCTGTGTGTCCGTGCGTGCGGGCACACGTGTATGTGCGTATGCATGCACCCTGAGTGGGTCACATGCACAGAGTATGTTTGCAGTTTGCACGTATGCATGTGCACGGAGTGTGATGATCTGTCGGTTTATACCATATTACTGTTGCAACTCACAAGTACCTTTTTTGCTAGAGCATGATGTGCGCCCTGTTGTGGACCCAAGTTGGGGTTCTTCAAGGTCACTGGTATAGTTGGTACTACAAATTATGTTTTCTTTTTGGGTGTACAGTGGCAGCCAGGACTTGGAGCCTGAAACTGTGCATCAACAGTACTTAAACACAAGGCAGAACAACAGAGACCAAACTTTCTCGTGACTCCGAGTTTCGTGTCCAGAAACACTCATCAGACGTGCCTTGTGTAGTACACTCTGCCCTTGTTAGGGTGTTGACTGTTGAGCACTATTTGCAGCAAGGATTTCAGACACTTTGCCTACAATTCTAATATACTTTAGCATAATATTATACTTATACAGTAGTAACAAGATTGGCCAGACTTACATGTAGCTATGTACATGTTGCGTGCTGGATGTTAACCAACTCTGTATGCATTCCGGGCTGCATGTGCCTCTTTGTCACCACACAGCATCTGCACCACTGCTATGTGTCCATATGATGTCTGTCTGCGATATGTCAGCCATTATCCTTTTCTGTTTGCGGCCACCTGCCTACCCCAGGTGTTGATGTAGCTTGTTTTACCTAGTCCGTTAACTGTATGATGTCATCATGATGTAATCGTGATGGTACACTGTGTATTGTGCCGTGTGTTGCTTTCAGCTCAGGGCAATGGCGTGGGTAGTGCATCTGGTCTGGTCCACTCGCTTGCCACCAAGGCAGCAACGCTATCACCGCCCGGCAGTGCTCAACCAGTGGTTGCCGTAGAGACCGACTCGGGGTAAGTAAAGTTGATCTTGGAATTATTTCCATGTTGTGCTGTACAGTGTGTGTGTTGGGCTCTTCTCTATGGCCGATTGTCACAACCAAGTATGGGATCATTCTATGAGCGGTAGCAATGGTAAGAGTGTACTCACGTGTGTGCAGTTGCGTGCACAGTGCTGGCCACTGAAGCCCGAGCACGGACACGCTTTTCATGCTCCAAGTCTAGCATTCCCTGATGCCTGCAGCCGTGCAATGCAGCTCAGCTCACCCATCCTCCCTCGCCAGTCATGGCGTAGCTCTCAAGTGAAGAGAGTATGGTCGGGTTTCACTGGCTAGCATGGTATGCACTCTTTGACAGTCAGTCTCTTTGACATGGTGTTCACGGCATACAGTGAAACCTGTCTACCACGATCGCTCAAAGGACCTTTAAAACGTGGTCTCTGTTATCAGGTGGCCTCCTCATCCAGGGTTATTTGACTGTAAATAGCATCCCTTGGTCCTGGTTGCAGTGGTCTTCAGGGACAGGTGGTCGCCTTATCCGAGTGGTTGCCATGACAGGTTTTACTGTACATGTGTTCAAGGAGAAGTAACTAAATAGCTTCTTTGCATGGCTGGGTGTTTGTGCTTTGTTGTTCAGCAACATCCTTATCCAGCACAATGGCAATGCTACTGTCGCTGTTCACAAAGTCCAATAACAGCCCGTCATACTCTTCCAACTTCAGTTCCCGCCCTTCATCATCCATCTCCAACAATAGGGCGCATGAGCACAAAACCTTTATACGAATACTCCATGTTGCCTCCTAGGCTTTATGATACCATCATTATTTTACAGTTGACTTAAAAAATTCAGTGACTCGCTAATACATCTTCTCTGCTTGGATTACGGTGAAGAAAGATACCTACAATGTAAACGGGTCAGAACATCTTCTTAGCTTTTGCTAGCCAGTATTTTCATTATTTTTTGATTTGTACATATTGGACTTGGTTCTTTCTTTCTTTTTTAATGTCATCGTCACCCTGTTGTATTCTTCTGTTACTAATACTTACTATGAGTGTTATTATACGGTGCGATGTGAAGTTTGCTTTGTTGTTTTTTGTTGAAGTAGCCAGCACTAGCAGTTGGTTCCATTGATTCTGTTGTGTCCGGTTTGAGCAACAAGCTTGACTAGAGTTGCACAGCTGAGCGCACGATCTGCGTGCCACTGTGCACGTGCAGGTCTGTTTTCTCCCGGAATTGGCATAGCAGAGCTTTCATCATCTGTGCGTTCAAAATAAAGCCCTCTCTGAAAGAGAAGCCCCGGACTACCGGAGTTGTCTTGAAAAGATATACCTGGGGTATTGTAGCCGCAAGCACGGCAGTAGTATGATCAGGGCAGTTTTGTCTCAATTCTGTCATCGATAATAATTATCACGAGTTTACATGCCTTAAATACGGAGTAGGACATGTACATGTACTTCAAAGTGTCCGTTTTGAAGCAGTTGAATAAGAAGCAACATGTCATTCTGATCAGCCAGCTGATAAAGAACAATCAACTCTGTTACATAGCTTGAGGACTCATCATACTCTGGTAAGTTAGAACCCCTATCACTCATCATACTCTGGTAAATTAGAACTCCTATCACCATCAGAAAGGAGGCTGTGGTACTCAAGCTGTTCACAGTCTATAGTTCTGGTGTTACAGTCATCAACGCTTAGAATACATGTAGTCAATGAGGAATACACACGTAGAACCACACGTAGAACCACACGTTATTCAATTGTGAGATATGTGCTGTTCATCAGTAGTGTCTTGAGCGTGTCATTGTTCAACAGTTAGAAACTTGATAGTTCTAATAGTTGGTAATTACTGGCCCTGGCTGCTTGGCATTGGGCTGACACTAGGCTTGGGAGGTCGAGGGGGCACTGGGGATGCAGAGCTTGGCCGGTCTGGTGGTAATTCGGGTGCGGTAGAGTCCGTGGCGACGGGGGACAGATCTGCAGGCTTTGGTGGCAGTGGTGGCAGCTGGTCACCTGGAAGCAGAGAGGTGGGCATATTCATAGAACAGGGTCAACTTCACAAAACACAACTAGAGGGGCGTAAAAAGACGAAATTATTTCTGAGCATTACTATCCAAAACATGTGCGTTGACCAGGGAGTGGTGCTTTCCTGCAGATGTGCCAAGTTACACCTTCAATGGGCTTCCTGTGTGCCCTGGATGGCTAGTGTGAGTCAGTCAAGTCGGCAGGAAAGTGCACGCTTTCATGCAAGAAGCAACACACCGCTTCTCTACAATCGCCGAAGTCACTGCCACTGTTTTGTGTTACCCACTCTGCTGTGGTGTAGCCTGAAACATGCCGGTAAGCACCGGCACAAACTAACAAATCAACTTGACTTTGCAGGCTGCTTCCAAGCCTTGGCCTCACCTTGGGACAAAAGAACATGTGTCGGCTCTCCACTATTGTAGCGGGACTTCTGCAGAGCGTTGCTTTGTCTGACCTGAAGGAGATGAACAAGAGATCAGACATCGAATATTTTAAATGAACACGACTAATTGGCACAAGAATCTTAGAACTGCTAGAAGCCACGTGTTTCAATTAGCTTCGATAATCATGAGGTCATCATTGTCAGCCGATCTCCTGGCTGGCGTCACCATTCAACCTCACGTCTGCTTCAAAGGGCCAGTGGCTCTGCCATGACTCCATGGCCAAACAGGTACTGTAGCGCGCTGCCCATGCATGCCCGAGGAATATAAACGCACCCCATAGAGCAAGCACACCGTGTGCGTAATGGCGAAGCCGCTGCTTACCCTCTTTTTGATGACGGCTACCTTGCTGGCCTTGCTTTGATCCTGTTCCCCCATGGCCAGTGAATCCTGTCCTATTCCGCTGTCAGGGCTGCCCGATGCACTCGTCTTGGCATGCTCCCCGCTGCTTCCGTTGCACGAGAAGCGCATGTAATTCTCCTCCGGCGCCTTGCCAGAATAGTCTAGTGGCAGTGGCAGCGAGGCAGAGGAAGATGTTGATGTGAGGTGTCGGCGTGGGTGGAGCACAGGCTCTGGTGTGATGTAGCCACGCTCTTCGTCCTTGCGCTGCCGTACCTTGGCGTTGGCTGCAGCCGCCCGCTTCTCCAACTCACTGAAGGATGGACTCGCCCTTCTGGCCACCTTGTAACCGGGGTGTGTGCGACTTTGCCAGCGATTGCTGTTGGCGAGCATTGACGGTGATGAGCGAGTTCGGTGTGCTACCTTATTGGCATCTTCCGCTTCAGTGACAGCCTGTAGCGGTTTGTTGGTGTATTTGAAAGACAAGGTCGGCTGGAGTGGACGTTTCTCAGGCACGGGGAATGCCATGAACGCATAGCCATCCTCATCTGTCTCTGACATGTCTCCATCGGCAGTGCTGGTGGCAGCGGAGGCAGATGCTGCACTGCTGGAACTGTGACAACTGATGCCACTACTGCTGTTCTCAACCGTCGTGGATGGGTTAGCGACGGAAGTGGCTTGGCTGACAACAAACGATGTAGCGTAGTGTTCACTTGGACAGGTACTAGTACTGGTTGAGCTCTGCTCTGATGCGGTCCGCTCAACGGATGGCTTCAGCGGTGGAATGCTGTCTGGTAGATGGCTATGCCTGGACAAAAGCTGAGCCGGTTCCACATAGGTCGGTTCTCCCTTAGTGGCAGTCTCCCGTGAGAGCTGTGAAGTGTTCCAGCTGCGAGTGCCAGCAACTTGCTGGTGGTTGGTGCGTTGCAGGCGGTTGTGAATGCTGAACGTGGCACTCTTGGTGCGCCTGAACTTCTCGGCAGGTGAAGGGCAGCCCCCAGTCGGCATGGTGCCTGCACGGTCCATTTTCTCCTCACTTTTCATTATCATGTATCCGTCCGGATCGGTGCTTTTCTTCTCCTCAAAGCTTCGGGTCGGACTCACTTTCTGCTTCTCATCTTGATCGTAGATTGACATGAGCTGTTGTCTTGCGGAAGTTTTCATGAGTTGTCCAACCATCTGCATGGGTGCTGCCGTTTCACAGAGGTTTCCACAGCTGCCGCACCAACTTGAAGCCCCCGATGAGCGAGACTCCGGCCGACTATCACTCCCAAACTTTGTCTCGCACGTGTGCTGAAATTCGCACATGATCTCGCGCTCGGACTTTCGCATGCACGACTGCAGCGTCAGCGTGGATATGATTGCCGAGGCAGGCTGCTGAGCGCCGGACGGACACGTCACAGTGTACACGCCACCGTCACGCGGTTGACACGAATCGCAGATGTGCAGCTGGAGCACATGTGCGTTGGAGTTCACCGACAGGCTGCTCAGACTGTCCGCCGTCCACTGCTCTATGGCCTCCTCGGTCAGCGGGTGCAGCAGAGTGATTGTTTCCTTGCTGATGCAGAGCAGTGCCGATGCTTGCCGTGCAACACTAGGTGTCATGCCCGCCGAGCGGTTTGGCCGGCCTTGACGCTCAAATGTCACTGCAAACAAGTCGGCTGTAAGCAAGACACAAAGAAGACATATAGCACAGTATCGTGTGATACTTCAGAACATGCAACCAACTGTTCTGGACACCTGGTTAGAGTCCTTGCGATGATAGTCAATTTGTTCTTCAGAGGCTTTCCCTTTTTTTCAACTCCCTCAAATTTGTGAAAGTTCTGAGTACTAAATGTTCTGGTCGATCCCAGGTAGACCCCAGTGGTGTCAATCTAGGCTGGTTGCAAGCTGATTTTGGCTTACTCCAACATAATTATCAAGAGACAGAGCCAGATCCAGTGCAGTAGACCATATTGGAGGCATGTACAGCCTGGTGAGACCAGCAGCTTGATAGAGATGTGAATTTGCCACACCTTCTAGGTTGGAGAACTCCGACTCGATGCTTTGAGCCATTGAAGTACTTCAGTACGTTGTATACTAGTGACATGGTATGTATGCACTCAGTCAGACTGTTTCACCAGTCTCAGTCTACAATCAGCCATGATTGACTTTCTCCACAAGACGAGCACTGCTTCTAGCGGTGCAGTGAAATAACTAGTCACGGTACAGAGTGAGTGTTAGCTCTGACACTGTGCCCTGGACTTTCAGACCACTGTGGCTCTTACCTGATTGGTCCTCTGCTGGCTTGGTCAGTGCCTGCTTCAATGCAGCTACCCAGGACAGCATATTGTGCTCATCCTTGGTGTAGAAGTCATGGCTTCCACTGGCGTTGCAGTGCACCGAGAACCGATAGATGATTGAGCGGTTCGGGCCCAGTGCTCCCGACGAGGAGCTGTACGCCGACGTCACCATCTCAAAGTCGGTCAAGTCGAACTCCTGCACTTTGCGCTGCACGCCGTTGCTCACCTTGCAGCACTGCAAGAACACACCTGTGCAGGCCACACGTGACCAGGAGACAGCGCGGCACCAGAGGAAAAGCAGGGTTAGACTGAACACTGGCTATTCAGAGACCCATCTGTAGCAGAGTCAGCATGGTGACTATCATGCATGATTGTCCTCAGATTCCATTGCTACATGCATGAGTGAAAGATCATGAAACTATTCTGTTGCAAGTACGACTCGTACTGAACTTAATAGGACACATCCCAGATTAGACAGCCAAACTTTCTCATGAAAGACGACTTACAATTTTCGCTAACATCTCCACTCAGGTTCAATGTCGGGCTCTCTCTTGCCAGGGTCAGCCACCGTTCACTCATCTTGCTTCTCTGTAGAGCAAGAGCAAGAGCCAAAGCCAACGGCAACAGAAGAACATACACCGTGAGGGATGGTATACCGAAAAGTTTGAAAGACGACGAGACGCCTGCTTCCTTCCCTTGTCTCCCTATTTTAAAAGCGAAACTGGTGTTTCGGATTGCATCAGGATTGTGGCCTGAATGTCTAGTTTCCACTCATCCGTGTCATATTCCAACATGCAGTGGTTGTCCTGCAAGACCACCACAGTACTCAGCTTGTGACAAACACATCCGATCACACAAGCACGCATGCACAGTGATACATGTATTGCTACACATTGTGGTGCGGTATGGAGAGGTTGAGTGCAGCTACAGCTCCGCGTATCTCACTCAAGAAGCACTGGTGTAGCCCAGCCGCATGCAGAGTGACTCTGTGAAGAATCAGAGCCTTCCTTGTGCATGCAAGTCTAGGACGCTAAACATCTATCTGCCATCATCACGATCATGATCTAGGGTAAGTGTCTTGTTTGTTGTTTAGAAGGAGATTGGAATGGTCAGTATCCACTATCCATGCACTTGTCACTTGAACACCAAGCTTGCAAGCTACATCTGGCTCGTAATCAAGATGTGACCCAGGCCAGAGTTGGCAGCAAGCGTTTTGGTCAGTGCCCGTCTGTGGTATGCGCTCGAGCAGATGGAAGGTTTGGCCCTTTGGGCCCTGCAAAGGGAGCGACACACTAGTTCACCGTTACTCTCAGACAGAGTTACCCACTGTGAGGGTTCCGCTGTTACTCCACCACTACAAACTAATTGAGGCTATGAAACCGGGCATGCATCGCTGATTCACCGAGTGTTTCACAGCGACACAGTTATCTGCACTGGCGCTCGCTCCACAACTTCAAGACACGACAGAGAACAAGTATGTTGGGTGCTGCAAATGCCGGATCATATCATCACCAAATACGCTGAAGAACGTTGAACTTGAGTGCTGGCCGATGGCGATGATCAAGTATCGGAAATCGCACAAGCGCAAAAGCGAACAAGACAATCTTTCAGCCAGTTCAGCCAGTTCAGGATGAACCGTCTGTGCTGCAGCCAGGGTTACTACTAATCAGCACCACCCGTTGTCAAGAAACTAGACGACTTCGACCACAGAACTGCAACTCTCTTGCCCCTGCATTCACCTCGGTTCTGCAGCTGAAATATTGACGAAGACCAACCCCAAAGCTAGTGTACATGCGCACGTAGATCTACGGTAGTTCTGCACATTCGCTAGATCGCAGAGCAATGAATGCACAAAGTAAGTATTCGAGGGGCTGCAAAGGAACTGCTTTGGAGTTTGGGCATGCACAAACATCAATCAGTGAGATCTGGATGTATGGTTCATCTGCATGGCCATGCATGAATCCACACATCCATACGTTGGCACATTGTTTCAAGAGGACATACTCAGCACTCAGGTCATTCCGATAGACTTACGTGTAGTTGTGAAGTTGTCGCAATCCAAACCGTTCCCTCCTTGAGGACCTCCACATGGCTACCAATGGCAGAGTCCATGCTCTTCCTTCGTTCCACAGGATTATCCATTGCCTCTTCTCTTTTCGCATGTGTAGGACAGAATCTTCTAAAAGTTTTCCAAAGCACACTGCTCTATCTTGCCAGCTTACTCTACCGCTCCACCGCCAAATTCCTGACTACTTCGGCGGTCGCTCTGGAAAAGTGTAACACCCTGCTTCTTATATGCATGAAACACACGCTCTTGCAAGGAGTACACCGCTACAGAGCCGGCGCACGCAATGCACGTGTGTCCGTGTACGAAGAGGGAACAGAGCTAGAGAGAACCGAGTTGAAGCTGACGCGGTGTTAGCGGTGGCTTCACAACCCAACGACAGCAGCAGCACAGCAGAGGGGAAACGAGGGAGCGGTAAAACTGCGCCGGCCAGCAATTCACCGGCCGAGCAGCACGGGTAACTCACAGTCACTACCAGAGGCAGAGAGAAGCCCTGGTCCGACCAGAGAACTACTCAGAATTTGCTGGAGACGTCCCGACACTTCACGGCCGTGCATGCACTAAACCGGGCGAAGGTCACAGCGTGAACGATGCTCTGGTCTAGAAAAAGAGAGGAGGCCGAAGATGCCCTCTCTCCCTGTAAGATCGAGCAGTTCACAACCTTCCCCCTAGTGCACACTGCGCCCAGCTAGCACAGTTCCACACTAGACCTGCGGGCAACACTACAGCGTGCAAGCGGTGACCTCAGGAGTCAGGTCAAAGTACTCCAGTTGCGCGCGGGCCAATTTCCGGTCTGCCACTCACTCTATGACGAAGACAACTAGCTATTTCTCCCGCTCTCCTCGTTGTCTTTCAAAATTTGACAGACGAACAAGAAACAAACATGATGCCAAAGGAAAGAAACGCGTAATCGCCACTACTGTAAGTTTCTCCTTCTTCCATTGTTCGTGCAGCATGCAGTGCAGCGGGTGTTCATGGAGAGACGAGGACGAGGACGAGACGTGGCTGCTGGCACATTGACGACGCGACAGTTGCAGTGCTTTGCAAGGACACGGTCAAATCGGAGCTAGTCGGTGTAGCCAGCCATCATTGTACCTTCACTGTACTGTCTGTGCCTTCCATGTACACTGTTATAGAGTGGTGCATAGCACTACATAAGCCGTGGCCGTACACTGGTACTGCGGCGATCTTGGTGATCAGCCCTGTAGATGGGCCAATCAACGCCACAACGACATGCCAATGGCCGGCTGATGGACGGAGACGGATGTGCGCCGTGCTCTACATCATAGACATAGAGCTACGCGTACTTGTATGTCATTATGTTACCAGTGTCAGTCAGCACACAATGCAATACGAGCCAATCGAGCAGTGGCGATCGGGCACGACCAACGACGATTTTCGTGAGCTATCCGATTGCATGATGTACACGCTGGCGAAACTGCCCGGCGATTTGTCTCGTCGACGACTTGCACGATGAACATAATGTGCACATTATTACTTTCAACCGCGGACGGCGAGAAAGTCATGTGCTTAGCGCAGACAGCCACGCGCCGAGCGGCAGCATCACGCCTTCAAGTTCAACTCGCCTTCACTTCAGGCGTGAGTCGTTGCAACTAACTTTACAAGTGTCGTGTAGAGAGGCACCGTTCTAAGCTGAGACCTTTCAGTAGGCTGCGTTTAAAGCCATGACATCAGACCCAACTCCCAAGCTCCGCCCTGCGGCCTCCCTTCCGAAGCATATGAATATAAATGTTTATGTAACACACAATTATACTTCAAAGTAGATATACAGCAAGCAGGCCATCAATCCAACAGGTTACTGCCTGATAGGGATAGTGTTACAGCCTTTCTAATAATTATACTGAGGTGTAATAGTGTGACTGGTGTGGTGCTGAAGTGAAGGTGCCAACGAGTTACGTGCTGATTGCATCACACAGCTGGTGCTGCCTATATGCTTACCACTCTGCGGCCCGTGATCTATTCTTAGACGCGGCCTATAAGAGCAGCCACACAGCATAGCCGATTGCCAGAACAAACGACGCCGTGCTTTGCTCCTCGGAAGGATTGCTTGCTCCGTCTTGTTTCTCACAATGGCCCATAGACATGGACACTATTAGCTGGGTAGTCGTAGCCATGGACATGGCATCAGCTGGGTAGTCGTACCCAAACCAATACTCCTAGTCGTACTCAGCCTCAGGTACAACACTCTGAAGGACATCGTGTAGTAGGATGATAGCTTTGATAATACTAATAGGTAAAGACAAGAGCAGTGTTACATAAGCACACTGGTTACCGGAGGGTGTACCCAGTGTGCTGACAGTGCTCAACAACGTTGCCTGATGATTGCGAGAGCATGAAACTTCATGTCGCAGCAAACAAGCCTTAATTGTCCTTGTTGTTCTGTTCTGTAACCACACTGGTTATGTACTCTTGGTAAAGGTAAGGTGAAGGTATTACATCATACATGTAACGGTCATTGTATTGTATTGTATTGTATTTCAAGGGTTACTCAGAGGCTCTAGTCTAGGTGAGGCTCCATACGAGTCAAACACAACTGTAACTGTGTGGATAGGAGGCGATGGAGACCTCATCAACATGATCTTGCTAGCTGTCGTCACGCGGCTCTCCGATCGATGGCAAAGTGTGTACAATGTCCTGTGCTATGAGCGCCCGATAACACTCTTCCCAATGTCATGTGCATGTACATGCAGCGCAGACGTACCCATATCAAGATAGGTGTCATTGCATACAAAAATACTATACACATGTTACCGATAGTGATGTTCATACTCTAGGCTATCGGCACAATGAGGTAAGTTACGCAGCCTGGAACCTCTCTGTTTTGAGGTAAGATACAAGTGCATGTAGGTTGCCATTGTTTCCCATCCCATGTACATGTAACTGATCTTTACTTTCACTACACTATCAGAAATACCAAGAGTATGTACTCTCGGAAATACGCGTACAAACCAATACTTACCAAGACAAGGTACACTCCTGAAGATGGCTGACAATTGGTTATGTGCCGGGAGGGAGACTTGAACCTGCACCATTTGACTAACTCGCGTCTCTCCTCTGCTCTACGGTTGTAGGTAACCCAGCTGTTGATCATGGTGGCTATGAAGCCAGAGCTGATCGACATCGCAAAGAGTACTCCTAACTCCAACCATACTCGGTTGGTTTCAATGGTTTGGCACGTTACCCAATTGTTACTTGTATGCGGCACCATCTGCACTATCCACCTTCGCTAGCACATGACATGGGCGTTGAAAGCCGAAGTCAGGCACTTACTAACTTGAAAGCACTTCGTTGAACATTTAGCCTGACATGTTTATGGCTCTCCCAACCCATGGACATGGCTCGTCGATACTAACCGGCCATTTATCTACACCATCGCACGCAGCGGATGCAACCCGACAATTCGGTTCTTGACAAACAGGGGTCGAAGACTCGAAGCTGTAGATAGAATTATCACGCAACTTGCCATTATTTTAACAAACAATGCATGTGTAGTACTGTACATTACCAAGAACATGACTTTGTATATTATGTAGATGTACCCTGGAAACTAGGTCTATTTGAAACACAACGCAAGTAGGAATAGTCGAGTTTCAATCCCCGCTCTCTGGCCCATCATAGCTTGTTCAACAGCTGCTCATAATTATTTTTCAGATCGCGAAGCAAAACTCACAATATTTTGGCACATTAGGGTCGAGCAAGGACCGGGAGTGTTGCCCGATGGTTATATCCAGGGAGTAAATGCAGTAAAATATGGTGTTTCACTACTCCCTAGCCCTGGTTATAACTATGGACCTAGTATGGTCAAGCATGCCAGATAAGCGCGCAGCATTGATCAATAATCGGATTTCCATCAGTCAGGCTGGCCAGACTCGGGTGGGCTTGAAACGTTTTGGCACGGCATGTCTCCCATTGTTTACTTTTTATCAGCAAAAAAAGAGTCAAACGCTGCCATTCCCATGGCCCTGAACAATTCAGAGCAAGATGACAACTGACCTACATGCACCAGTCCTGTACTTCGCAGAAAGAGGTGTACACAATGCCACATGTACAAAATAAATGTACATGATGCGATTGCTTCGACCTGTCATTGGGCACGGGCTATTATCATGATTATCAGCTTGATCTAATAATACTAGTCTGAGTAGTCGTATTGCAGTGGTGAATGCTTGGCATACCGTGGTAGGTAGTGGGTGAGGCGGAGTGGCCGTGATTGCCCGTGATGCATGCGCATTGTTTAACCTCCCCCTAAGGAGGTCTTGTGTGACGAAATATGCGTGACATCATGTACATTGTATAAAATCCTCATTTTATAAGGAAATCCAGACGATGATATGACTCATATCGCTCATATTATGAGCGTCTACATGTATGATCCAAAAATCTGGCTCCACTGACGATGCTTGATAGGCATCAGGGAGTAGTACGATACCTACTCCCTGATAACCATGAGAATGGAGCCAGACGGGATATGGTTGGTAGCCTTAGGCTTGAGCGGGTTGTATTATTATTCTGTTTCATTTCTTTCCTATACACTGTACCAGACAGTTTTAACGTATGGTTAAAACCGTCTTGCTCCGAACTCCCGAGCATGGGATAGGCTGATACCGTGAATCTGGCATTACTGTCATTATAGTTTACTGATAGCAAGAGTACATACATGTACATGTACACGTAAAGCTCCTAGAGCACTCTTGCTGATACATGTACATGTACAATGTACCTGTACAGACTAATAATAAGTCAGTCATGATTGTAATGATGCACTGAATGACTGTACAAGCACAACAGTCAACAGGCCCACACTGGCCACAGCACATCAAGGCTCTGACACCTGGCTGTACAAGTAGATGCCCGTGTACATGGTGTAGGCCTGTGACTACGTGGTAAATCAGGGCCAAAGACTCAAAGCAAAGTACAACTACTAGTACTTATACATGACACTGTTGTATAAAATTAAAGGGGCTTTGTGAAAGAGTTCGCTGATGAATACTATCCAACGTTCCAGATGGTCCCGGCCTAGGTCAATCGTTTTTCTCACACCCCATCCATTGGCATTAGGAATGTCCGGCCAATGCAGATCGCCCAATTCGAGTGTGAATGACGCGAATACAGGACACAGTACTACATGATTGTAGTATAGTACTATTAGTAGGTTATCATGCAATGGTGTTGTTTCAAACTGTACTGTACTACACTACTTGCAACGTCATGGAACACCAGCTGCAATGATGTGAAAGTGAGGATGGCACTGTCTACATGTACATTTATGTGTGGAACCGCCCATTGGAATGATTCCATGACTACGGATGTTCAAACACCAAGACTGGGCAAATAAAATAGTTTCAAACAATGATCATGGTAGGTTGGGTTAAGTAACATTAGTATGTGCTCGCATCAAGACAAGAGTGAGGGAGATGGGGGGTTTATGAATTATGATCCGTTATCAACTCCTGCTGTCAGGTCTGGGGTAGGATTTCCACATTCACCAGTTGGCATATGTCATGAGGATGCTCCCGCACGCCATGAGGACCCATATTATATGTGGTGGCGACTACGGTAGTATTCACCCAGATGAAGATTGCCTCCAGTACATACCCATATGCTGATATGGTCATGGCAAGAGAAGTGGACCACTGATTGGACACATGGGTGCATGTACCATACCTATTTGTGCATATACATGTACATGATTGTACATGTTCAGCCCACACTACAGGGTGATAACGTTGGAACATTGACCCAAGAAAGGCAAGGCCTAGCCCCTGATTTGCAAGTGAATGAAACCTCAGAACGTGACGCACCACAAAACCTACAAAACCTAGATGAATACGCGTGTCACGTGCCAGACAGAAATACATGATTTTCTTGCTGATTGCGATTCGCGCACAATACAAGTAAAACGTCATTGACATTGTCCTCCTAGAAGTAAATCCTATCCATGTACGGT